TCATTCTATAAATAGATAACACTGTTACGATTCACTTTACATGAACCACGGTTGTAATTAAAGCCGTCCGGGTAAACGTCATTCTTTATTGGCATGCATATTTCACTTATTTCACAAGTTATTTTCTTTTTATCGTTACCATAAACGGCAAATCAACAATATTATCATACAAATAAATCGGTTACAACACCTCTTATTTTGTATCAATTAACCTTAATTACCTTTGTCACGATCACGAGGTGTTAAAAACATGTGTCGCCGACTGTCATTTATTTAGGACATACCGACTTGTCTTTTTGTGTTCGACCGAAAAGGTGTGATTTTCACTATATTTCTGCCGAAGGGACCAGAGATCAGGTTCGAGAGTTCGAGCGATCGGTGTTCGAGCGATCCGAGGTAGAACAATATATATTATATAGGAATTTTGCCGGGACTGGGCGATGAGTTCGAGCGAAGGGAGGTATTCGAGCGATCCGAGTTCGAGCGAACGAAGTTTAACTGTATCTGTAATTCCGGAATTTGGAAAATTTTCATAAGCTTCCGGTGACGTCCTCTTTAATTTATCCGTGAACGGTTTTGGGGAATGAATCAAGTCATTGGGGTTGTGTACATCTAATTCCGGTTTGTGGGGCATGCGCAAAACATCAAAATGATCACTCATATGTCTTAAGCATAAATAACTACTTCTTGATGAATCACCCTCCTGCATAGGAAACTTAAGCCAATTATTTTGTAGACCACATATCACATTCACATATATGTCGATACCATAACACATTGCTGCAGCCGTAACTTCCGCCTCAGTAGCCCATGAACACGTTTCTCCATTTACTAATAGCATGTTCCGTACATGATCTCTAAAACTGCCATCAATCAAATTTGAAAAGTACAACTCATTATTTTCTATGTATTCTACTGTCGTATTCCTAACTTCTCTATGTTTAGATGAATCCCCCAGAATCTCATAAGCAACACAACGGAAGAAACAATTCCCATCTTTTTCTACTTCTATCAAACTGCCGTTTGGATTATTCTGTCGCGTAGTTTTAAGTTTTTTCATTTTTTGCTTTTTCAAACGTAAAAGATTTATCTTCGATTGTAATGAAATAGATTCGAGATTACTCATTTCTGTAGAGAAAATGTCTTCACTAACATGTAATTTAAATGTATTTACCAATTCATTGTGTTTTGTTGTTGCACTAGACACTACTCTGTTACAAACATCTACTGCTACATTCATCAATGATCGTGAAGTTGACGAAAGTATATCTTCTACCCGCCGTTTTTCCGCTCCATTTATGTCAAAGTCCAATTTCCATTTGATATCAAAACCGTTTGGCACTAATTGTTTTTCTAAGCACTCCTTCAAAAAATGTTTATGACTATCATATCGATTTATTTTTTCTATCAATTTCCGTAGGCGGCTCAATTCCACTGCTTCCGTAGTCTGCTTCATATTTGTTGTTGTTTTATAAAAGTAAAATCTCTAACTTGCCGTATATAAGCAAAAACGCTATTTAAATTTGCCGTAGCTTTCGGCCTTGCGGCCTTCTTCAGCAGCATTTATTTCACATACAAATATATCAAACAAAACACGAATGACCACACAGTTAAAGATTTTTCGATAATGGGGCTGGAAAAGCTATACGGGAATGACCAATACAGAAAAACAATAGAAAATTTGTGGAAAAATAAATTAAGAACCTATAGACCGTATGGAGTTAATACAAAAGAATAACGCGGCAGACGGCAACCAACGCCACGGCGGGCGTCGTTCATTGACGTTACGTCACTTCCATTGTTTTGTTTGATATATTTGTATGTGAAATAAATGCTGCTGAAGAAGGCCGCAAGGCCGAAAGCTACGGCAAATTTAAATAGCGTTTTTGCTTATATACGGCAAGTTAGAGATTTTACTTATATATATATATATATATGCCGCGTCACGACAAAACCAACATAATGCGTTTGCGACCAGCATGGATCCAGACCAGCCTGCGCATCCGCGCAGTCTGATCAGGATCCATGTTGTTCGCTTACAAACCCTATAACAAGTAGAGAAACTGATAGCGAACAGCATGGAACCTGATCAGACTGCGCGGATGCTCAGGCTGGTCTGGATCCATGCTGGCCGCTAACCCACTCTGTTGGTTTTGTCGTGACGCGGCTCATATATTGAATGCAAAACACGTTGAACATAAATCTATTTAAACAGTAAACAATAGAATAACCAATGAAAACCAGTAAAAGTCAAAGGCATGCAAAAATAAGCATTACCTTTTATTGAAGTAATAAAGTTTTACAGTTTTGCAAGTTAACTGGGATCCCGCACCTACATTAGTCATGCATGCGGTTTGCTTATTGTGCCTGGGGGAAGGGTAATGATAGGGACGTCATATTCAGATGCTCGATATTCAATGCTCTTTCTATAACATAATTATAATGTTAGTGATATATTGCTTATTATGCCCTGTCATGTTGCGTAGAAGTAGTAATATATTTCAAAAGATTGACTATTATAATTGTGATTTAGTAATAATGGATAATGAACTATGTTTATTACACAATATGAAAGCGACTAAAATAGAACGTTAGCGATATATATTCTGAATGATATTTATAGACATTTCCGTTAGCCACGTGGATCTTTTATTATTTTGTAGGCAAAGTGTCAGGTTATTTTGATTTAACCTCTTCATTGACAATGTTTGCTTGGATGGGCGTAATCTTACTTAAAAGGGACATTTTCCAACGAAATGGGTTCCAATTGATAAAGTTTTGAACATTAACTTGTGTGCAAATTTTCAGGTCATCCTCTTAACCCGTTGTTCAAGAATAACTATTTTCATTGTGCAAAATAACCCGAATTAAAAAATCGTTGCAACGCTTTTTATTCAAATCCGGCTAGGCTAAAATGAGCACAAAAATATCGACATTCAATTTCAATTCTGAGTATATTTCTGTGTTTACCTTTGTCGAGTCCATTTCCTAAGTGCTTCACTTGATATTTGTAATATTTTCAAATTTCATGTATTTAGACCTTAGACCTCAGTGGAGTTCCTTAATTAATAATATCTGTATCAGCAAATCAAAGGAACGCACTAATTAGAATAAATAACATATTTGTTACCACGTGTTGTTATTGATTACTAATGTAAACTGTTTATTCTATTTAAAAGAATGCGAATAGTATTCAATAGTTTCAAATGTTCATCTTAGTATTTTTGTTCGTTGTCGCCGTCGTTGTCTTAATTGTTCCCTCCTTTTCCCATGCTTTTTTTATTTATTATTTAGTTACAAAGAAGCCACTAAATTATTTATTCACCATAACATAGCACCACTGAGGTCTTTGAATGTATATACAAATAACATTACAATTTACTAGTATTACATAGATGAATCGGTGCACTTGATATATATATCTTAGCCTGATTTAAGTTATTTAAAGCGTTTAAACGTTTTGGGTTTTTTAATTTATGTTATTTTTGTATAATAAACATTCCTGAGAAATAATTGTAGTGGGTTCATAATCTCTAAAAGTTTGCACACAGGTCATTAGACAAGATCATTATCAAATGGTACACAATTCTAGAAAAGAACACTTAGTTTTCCTGTCGTGTCATGTAAAAGGCATCGATGGAGTCTAAATTTAACACATTAAATGACTGTAACATAGCTCCTTACCATTAACATACTAAGATACGACAGTCGTAGTGCGGATGCAGCCACATAAATTTTCCAGACGACTTAATGCCATAAAAAGGACTGTCAGAATCTCAGCGTATCGTCAGGTTTAGATATATTGATAATCATTATAATTATCGTTTATCATTTTAAAATAAATGCGAAAACGAATAAAATTAAAAAGCAGACGACATTTTAGCAAACAACAATTGCAAGTATCTGGTTGAAAGCACCCATCCGAGTCTTATTTTCTATTTTAAATGACAATACATGTATATTTAAATAGGACCCTTCTAAAGCTTCGTGGTAAACATAAAATATAGTTAAAACACATTATGATATTACATACAAGGTTTGTAATACATTTTTGTGCATTCGATACTGGAGACTTAACAAGTAAGTGTATACTTTATGTTGTGACTAAGTCTTGTTTGCATAGAGACATTCGTTTAGTTCTTTTTGCTTATTCTCTCCAATGTATCAGCTTTTAAGTTTTCAATTTCGAATTTGTGCATGCCATCTAGAAGTTAATGAAGTAAGCAAAAAATATGAACTTGAACGTTACACTGTATCTTAATAATAATACATGTAATAATAAATAAATAATGATTTAAAATTGTAATAATTGATTTTTTTCACTACGTACCTGACCCCCGAAAGTAATTGTTAGCACTTTACACGCTATCAATCAATGTAAAATTTTAATTAGATATCGGACGATATGAGGCGTGTCACGACAAAAGCAACATAATGGGTTTGCAACCAGCATGAATCAAGACCAGCCTGCGCATCCGCGCAGTCTGATCAGGATCCATGCTGTTCGCTATCAGTTTCTCTACTTGTAATAGGGTTTGTAAGCGAACAGAATTGATCTTGATCAGACTGCGCGGATGCGCAGGCTGGTCTCGATCCATGCTGGTCGCAAACCCATTATGTTGATTTTGTCGTGACGCGGCTCATATGTATTAAGATAAAAAAAAATATTATATGGAGTTCATATCCCATACATGCTACATTTAAGCGGACTGAAAATTCGTTCGTTTCGGTTATATGATAAGAGTAATTTAACAAGGAAAAATGCAATTTACATATCAAAACACGTGTCTTAAATGTGCAGTTGAATAATATCCGGTAACTTAAGTAACTTAAAATATCATGCGATTTAGTTTTTTGCGTGTGTTTGGTTGCATTGCATGCCTATACGTATTAAACCATAAATCAAATTTCAGCTTTAAACCAAAGTTCACCCATCACCTACCTGTATTTTGGCTCTCCATACCTGAGTTAAATAAAAAAAAAAACACACACGTGATATCTACTGTGTAAAATAAAACCCATCGATCCACGAGTGGAAGAGAAATATACGGATTGTAGGGAACTTTTAACTATTATAATAATTATATTTAGGTACTCTTCTTTTATCTATTGAAGATGCTTAATTACATTGTCCAACCTGATTGAATTTACAAATTAAGATATAATAATGATAAAATCATTAATATATAACATCTTTTGATCATATTTAGAAGTATTATTAAAAATTTACAAAAGATTCGTTTTAAAACATTAATTGTAAATCATTAAAGTGAACGTATTGAAAATTTACTTGTTATGATATCCATAAATTTCTTGAAATATTTATGTATATATTTATCAAATGTCACAAAAAATGAAAAGCTGTTGGTTCTTTCAATTGGCGTGCGCGCGCGCGTGTGTGTGTTTTAAGTACCACATTCCGATGATAAATAATCCATTAACTGTTATGTACCGTTTCAGTCAAAATGACTGCTGAATGGACAAGCGGGAGAAACACCGCAATAATCGTCGTCACAGTTAGCCTGTTTTGTGGAGTTCATGGTCATGATGGCGCGTGCCATACGGAGGCAAAGTCTTGTGAGCTGTATCTAGATGTCAGTTCATGGTTGCCAATGAGACGGAATAATAATGAAAAGGTTTATATCAATGAAACAGATGGTCTACTTTATATTCATGGAGATACCACAAATACCACTGTTGATCCCGAGGATGTAGTGCTAGCCGACGGTTCTCCGCATGAACGGGCTTTAATACTTTTTAATAAAACTATGCCAGGACCAACAATAACTGTTTATGTCAATCAAGAAGTGATTATTCATGTTAGGAATCACATGACCAGTCACGGTGTGACGGTTCACTTTCATGGCATTGACATGAAAGGGACTCCATGGATGGATGGTGCAGCTTTCGTTACACAGTGTCCAATCTTACCTGGACAAACATTTACATACAAATTCACACCAAACCGACATGGAACATTTTATTACCATTCCCACACTGGTCCTCTAGTAAGCATGGGCCTAGTCGGTGCTTTTATTGTAAAGGAGAGAAAAACAGACGACATTGAAGAGAAAGTGATGATGATCCAAGACTATAATAATGCACAATCTTCTGATGAGATGTATGTAAGTTCAGCAATGCTAGGATTTTTCAATACTGAAGGTGAACGCTTAGGAAACACGGAACGACTTGATGGAACATACACACCTATTATCAAAGTCACGTCGTCTTTGATCAACGGTAGAGGCCGTGTATTAAACAAACAAGGGGAACATTTAACAAAAACACCTCTTACTATTTTTACGGTAGAAAAGGGAAAACAATATCGGTTTAGAGTTATAGGAGGGGGATTTGCCTATCAATACAAAGTTTCCGTAGATGGTCACAAACTTACTGTCGTTGCAGCAGATGGGTCTGATATTGAACGAATTGTGACAGATTCAATCATTTTGAGTACCGGGGAACGGTTTGACTTTATTCTTGAAGCTAATCAGTCGGTCGGCAACTTCTGGATTCGTGCAGAGACCCTTGAAAAATATCATAACCGAAGTGCCTTTGCAATACTTAGATACACAGGAGCCCCCATACAGTATCCGTTTACAGCACCAAAAATATGTTCATCAAATGACCCGTGCGCTGTTGTTAATTGCCCTTTCGAAACGTTTCCTAACTGGACATGCTTGAATGCTGATCAAATGCGTAGTGCTTCTGAAAATGAATCGGCTCCAGATCACAAATCAGGAAAATTTAAGGAATTTTTTGTTAATGTTGGATTTGCTGTGCGCGAAGATAATGTTGTCATGGGTCATATGAATGGAGTTAGCCTCAAGCTGCCAACTGTGTCCGCTTTAACGCAACCGAAAGAAGTGACTGACATATGTGCCGAGTCACATAACTGCAACGCTGGAAAATTCTGTACATGTAACCGACCATTAAATGTTGACTTTGGGGATATAGTGCAAATAAATTTTGTAAGTGCAGGCTCTTTGAATATTGTAAGTCACCCAATACATGTTCACGGATATTCATTTCATGTCATGAAAATTGGCTATGGAACAGAAAACCCGGCACTATATCCAAAATACGGGATGAACGATAATATCAAGTGTACCGGGTTATGTTACGGCAACATAACATGGTCCGAGGAGTCATGGAAAGATGGAAATATTCCAAGTGTAAATTTCAGCAAGTTGCCGCGCAAGGATACAGTAACCGTGCCTGCTGGTGGTTTTGTGGTCATTAGATTTAAAGCAGAAAATCCTGGACTTTGGTTTATTCATTGTCACCAGGAATACCATGGTCAAAAAGGTACTGCGATGTTGATATGTTGTCTGAAGAGACCTGATAAAAGTTTATACGTTATTTCAACGGCTTGTGGTTTTATCCTGTCAGATCGTTTAACTGATACTAGAAATGTTGCAAAAATATTTTCTTGTTCATTGGGGTCATTCTCTTTATTTAGCATTACAGTATTTCAACAGAGTATCAGTATTGTTTCACTTTATGTTTTCATATTTCTGTTTTCATCGTTTACGAAGTAAAATATCGGCCAATTGTCTGGTGAAAAAAACATTGAGTTATTAATATCTTTTTTTTAAAAAAGTATTCTATCAAGTAACTATATATCAAATTTATGTTTCTTTCGATTTCAAATTTTGGTTCTATGTCAGACTATGGACCGGTAATAATGATGTTGAGTATGATTTTATAACATTTTATTATAATTTATTAGGTCTAGGGTTACTCTTAAATGATTCCTTCTCGCGCGTTCCAAGACCACCAGACGGATTCCCAGAATGTAGGAATTTCCAATTCAAAACGACCGAAAAAAACAAAAACCCAGTTTCTACGACAGTTGGGACTTCGATCGACAACACAAGAAAATCAAAAAGGTAACTTTTGTGTTTGGACAAAATAAATTCTATGTTAAAGTGCTCAGTATTATAGTTTAACTTGAAATATAGGTTCTTAATTTCTTAAAACTTAAAGTCTATTGAAAATGATATAAAAGAACCTTTAATAATGCAATGTAACCGAATAAATAAACTCGTAAAAAAATGTAGTTTTATCCACTACATGTTTAAAATGATAATAATATTTGATTTCATTCATATCAATGAAGCCATTATTTACTGATTATTATATATTTCATTTATTTATTTTTATTTTATTTTTAAATTTTAACATACGTATTTCAGTTACTGCTGAAGATAACAGAACCTACAGTGAAGAGGAATTCTGGGGAATGTTTGGAGCCTTTTTGTTTGTTCTTCTTCTCCAATTTGTAATAACAGTCGTCTGCTTACGAAGAAACAAAGCTTCAATGGCGTTCAACTGATAAAGGGGAATAACTCTTGTAGAAGAAATAAAGCTTCAATGGCGTTCAATTGATAAAGGGGAATAACTCTTGTAGTGATATACTATTTTATAATGTTAAAGGGAATCAACTTTTCTTTCTCGTATACTAGTTGACAGAATGGGATTCTCGTTGATTATATAATTTTTATGATCATGTTCCAGTCGCTTTCTTGCTTTAAATGATCGCTATCAGTGTATGAACAGATTACATTCTTCATCAACAAGTATCTTCTAATGAAGAAAAAAAGCTTGTGGTTTGTTGTTGTTGTTGGTTTTTTTATCAATGTTTTGTCGCAGGTGCCTGGTTTGAGTTTAGGACCATGTGAGTAAATTAATCGGGCTATGTGAGTAAATAAATCCTGATATTGCCTAAAAGCAATATATCATAATGATCTGTATGCTTTGTTATCGACAAATATTATAAAGTTATTATACATTTTTAGTACAAGAATGGATAATATTCAAATTTAAAAAAAAATATACCTGTTTCAATTGGCAATTAGTTATTCATACATAAAATTTGAAAAAAAGCTATTGCTAAGTCTGATAACAAATGTTAAAGTATTTTTCAAAACCATATCGATTTTTAAAAATTCTATAATACAAACATTTAATGGATTCATACATACAAGTTTGCCAACATTAAATAAACTGGTCCTTAATTCTAACAGAATTTTTTAATGAGGCACGGAATTTGCTGATTGAAAAATCCAATAGCTTGACAAACCGAGAGAATCTAAAGAAGGTTGCACAAATTTCAGCTAAGGAAAATCCATATCAAAATCAGAGTATAATTTCTCTGGTATGAAATACAGCATAGAACAAATTTTATCTATTTTATCATTAATCAATTTGCCCCAATAATTCAGAACTCGAGACTTAATTTGCAATGACAAAGGCAATATTCCTAGCTCACCATATATTATACGAGACGGGGTAGAATGCTTTAGTCCGAAAACTAATCTGATTTATTTTAATTGAAAACGATCAATTATCTCTATGTTTTCTACTCCCCAGACCTCTGATCCATATAAAATAATAGGAGCCACCATCACATCAAATAAACTCAATTGTATATCAAATGGTACGACAATTTTACGAAACTTTGTTAACAAAGAAAACCTAGCTTTTCGGATTTGATCAATTAGATTTTTCTTGTGCCCAAAGAATTTTCGTTAAATAAAAACTCAACCCCAAGATAATCAAAACGATCAACCATCTCAAGCCCCCCCCCCCCCATCGAAGTTGTCGTCGTCCTCGTCGAACTACATTCAATTCATAAAGTGTTTTTAAATCTAGTGAAAAGCAAGCAGAAAAGTAAATAACTGTTGACCCATGACCCCACCTCCCACCCCCATTTGAAAAATACGTAAAATGCTGAAACTCCATATACATAGGTGAGGAACTGTTACACGAAGGATGGAGTTCTTATAATAACTTGTTCAGGAGTTCTTGTGATAACTGTCACGGAGTTCGTCGGAAAACATCTGTATATACTACAAAAACACTCGTCAAAATGGTTATTTTCATCTTTTAAAAATGAGGTTTATGTGCTAAATTATACTTTAATGATTAAGCTAGCTTGTCTTACATCTTGTATTATATGTGTCAAAAACTAATTCATAGGCCATTTTTCATCGCCTCTTGCTTAAAATCTGGTAGTTTTGAGTAAAATGTTCAATTTATTTGCCAATTCACAAGTGTTGACCTCTTTAATTCTGGTCTTCATCCTTGCCATACATAATTACCTAATTATAATGCAAAATTGCAAACAAAAAGCACCGGCTACCAGATTTATACCCGATTTTTTTTTTCAAATGTCCTGGAGTTCTTGTGATAACTCTGAAGATGTCACAGAGTTCTTATGATAACTTTTGTTATTTCCAGTGTGTTTCTTGCGCTAAATCACGGCACGTTTTAGCGTTTTTTCTTATTATTCAACGAGATTGTAAATCATACAACATTTTTAATGTTGATATGTTGTCACTTCCATATAAATAGGCCTAACATGACTGTGAAAGAAAATTATGTGCCTAAAAAACTGTTCCCTTTGTCAAAGTGCAGATTATTTTGTGTCTAAATTAACAACTGTTATCATTGTCAAAGTGGGGAAAAGAGAGAGAGAAGATGAAATTGTCCTGTTTCGTCGAAACCTTTAGAAACGTTCAAGATGCCTTTAGTATCAATATATATAATAGTTTTTGACATCAAGACAAATAAAGGAACTTCACTGAAGTCCAAAGCCTAATACATAAAGTGTGAATATCTTACATAGATCATCAGAACAGAAAAATATGAAATAATTAAGAATTTATATACCCAGAGCGCACTTTTGTATTATTCTTAGCAAGCTCTTTTCTGTATTTTCTGTTCGATTTCGGTGATTTCGTCTCGCGAAATGACGGACATCACGAGACTTCAACACTTCCTGTAGAAAATTGGATTATTTATTTGTTTTGACATTTTAACACATTATAATGTTAATATCTTGAACATATAACGGGCACAAAACTTTCTTAATAGGTAATTACTGTATACTGTCTCTTCAAATTATCTCATAGATGTTTAAGAAGTTGTCCTCGATGTAAATTTATGAAAAGTGACATACAATTCGGATACATCTCTAATTTGAACAGTAGTTTCCGTTTTTCTTCATAAGGTGTATATATAGGTATCTCGTATATCCGCGGTACATATCACTTCAATTTATGTATATGGGAATAAAATCACTAGCCCAGCATTAAATTTTTGAAATAAAGAATAATTTCCTGTCCTGTAAATGAATTAATTTGATTGGTTTTACAATTTGTTTTATTCTTTTCATGACAGTATGAATATGCGAAATAGACCCATCTGTATATAAGTCAATATACTATTGATAGAACAGGGGTATACATTCTTCAAAGGTACTTTATCACAGTGACATATGCAAGTTAATCATAATGATACAATGTAATAATATGAAATTAGGCAAAGCCTATGAATGGTGAAGTTGGTAACAGACCTGGGGATGATTACATTGATCAGTAATTGATTTAATTACAATTACTTTCAGATTTTATTGTAATTGATTACAATTGATTACTCAGACTTGCCTCTGTAATCAATTTAATTACAATTACTTTAAGAAAGTAATTGATTGATAATTGATTACATTCAATTTATAACTATAAACAAAAGTTTCTTAATGCTATTTAATATATATATTATATACATTATAAACACAAAGGATTTCCAGCTCATCAACAGTCATCAATTTAACACACTTTTAGTTACTGTCAATTCACTTTATCATATTTTAGCATTGCACTTTAGCATCATAAGTTCATGAAACCGTCTGTCAGTCAGACTGCATCTATCAGGACCGAAAAATTTACCCGCAACACTAAACAAACGCTCTACAGGGGCCAATGATGCAGGAATGGTCCTCAGTCTTCTTGGTGTAGGTTTCATAATGAACTCTATCAAGCATATTGAAATTTTATAAAAGTGTCAATTGTACAGTATGCTGTATACAGGTGTTAAAACAGGTGTGAAAACAATAAATTTTTGTATGGGAATTCAAAGAGACAATAGGCTTTACAAAGAAATTATCATTTTTTTACAAACACTTCAATGGTACAACAGTATCCATTATAATATAGACACCTTACAAAATCTATCACCTTACAAAATAACTGTTGTCTATAATTAAAATATGGTAATATGCATCTGACATAAACTCTGGAATATATAAAGTAAAGAAGTTATCTACATTGTTTGAAACTTTTAAAACATGGTTAAACCAACATATGTGAAACAAAATTTAACATACTTTTATGTGGGTAATGAAATTTGAATGTGACTTAGTGATTCCATTTATCTTCCTATGGCACAATTTGCACTGTGCTGTCACATTTCCAGATGTTTCTTTAGGAAATTCAAAGACATCATAAATCCAAAGATTTGACATTTTGGTTAGAATACAATGATGTATATCTTTCAGTTAGAATTTGGTTAACTGTATGGATTAAAACTTATTTCTTCATTGTGAGTGATGTCTTAAAACATCTCACTTGATATTTTACTACCTTTATGGATTATCATTGTTTATTATGACAATTTCTATCATTTACTTCAAATATGGATATCAATAGAGAACATTCTTTCTATTCAATAAAAATGTTGCTATTGTGTATCAAAATCAATCAATTTACACTCTACAATTTGTGATTAAAGATCATTATAAACTGTAACATGTTAAATGAATCATTTGAATTTCAATAGTTTCATGTAAAATCTGAAAGTAATCAACATCAATCAAATTGTAATCATAATTACAGACTGAATTTGAGCTGTAATTGATTAATTACAATTAATGTAATCAATTTTGAGCAAGGTAATCAATTACATGATGATTACAGTGTAATCATGTAATCAATTAAAAAATCGATGATTACGATTAGTGATTACCCCAGGTCTGGTTGGTAAAAAAAAAATGTTCATTTTTCCGTTTTAAAGGAGTCATTCGGTATTTAAGACACTGCTTCCATTTTCGCTTGTAACACTTGACAATTAATATGAAATTAGGTGCTACCTTTGACGCGGAAAGCTCGTATGATTTATTATTTAAGCATTACATGTTTAGTGTACATGTTAACCAGATAGATCTATCATGCAACTCGTTAAATAAGTAAATGCAGGTATTTTGTACCGTAAACAGAAACAAATAAATTGGCGGTGTTCAACCTATCATCGGAAGAGGGACCACTGCGCATGCGTCGGCGTTTGGAAAATCCCGTCCGCCATTTTCATTTAATCTCTAATCACATATGTTCTTTTTATGTTATTTTTAATGTGCTGATTTATCGAAAAGAATTTAAAAGTAACTTTTTACATTTATCATCGTTACTATAGTTCTTATGAATGAAATGAATGTTTATTTTCTGATTTTGTACATCATTCTTTCACCGGAAGTGTTATTAAGCATGCGTCTGCTAGCAATAGTCTGAATTATGTAGACGCTCATTAAAAGCGCTGTGATATCTATTTTTAGCTCAAAGGGATTTCAAAATGGCGGCGCCCAGTTAACTAAGGATTTTTTCACAGCTCATTAGGTATAGGATATATATTTTTTTGAAATTTGCATTTACTTTTAATTTGATTTCATTTGAATTGATACGCGTCATACATGTTATCTAAGAGCGCTACAGCCCTCGCGGGGCCTTTGGCCCCGCTCGGACTTTCCTCGTATTATTAATCGGAAAGTTTGCGACCGTACGCGTTATCAGAATGTCCCGCCTATTATCATTACCCCACAGGAAAAGAGTCCAACTCGGCCCTAAACCAACTCGGCACAGGTCAACTCGGCACGGGTCAACTCGGCCCACTTTACAAAAATATATATAACGTATTAACTTTGCTTTGCATGTTGTTAAGGTAAATGAATAATGAGAAATATCTTATTATTATATAATTACACTTCTGCCGAAATAAGTACATTTAGAATTTTTTTTTTTATTTGTCTTGCAGATTCGATAAAATTAATATAGATCTAATAAAAATGTGTTTCCTTAGATGCATTTTGTTTGTAAAGTAATATTTAAAAAAAAATGAAACAAAAACGTGTTTACTTCATATCATAAGCTTCTAATTAATTGCAGGTGGTCACTAATCAAATGAATGAATGAGTCAATCATAATTATCACCTAATTAATCGGTATCCTTAACATACACACTGATTGATAATAATAGCCCGTAACAATATATATTTCAACACATTGTTTGACACTGAAGGTATTTAAATTTACGGTTAAACCTACCACAAGTCAGAAATACAGTGAGATACGCAATCGGTTATCTTTACTCGCAATTCTACTGATAAGAAAAGCCTGTCTGCTCCTAGTTCGGAAGCTGTCAATAGGTGTTTTATAAATAATTACAATAATTACAATAAATAGTGATAACACAAACTAAAATATTAATAATTGAAAACTGGGCCGAGTTGACCCGTGCCGAGTTGGAATAGGGCCGAGCTGACTCGGAGGCCGAATATGTTTTAGGGCCGAGCTGATCCGGATTCACCCCACAGGTCTATTATCATTGAGTTACATGTACATTGAAAATGGCGGCGGCCAACTAGAACTGACACTAAAAATTTCATTGATAGTTATACAATTCTATATATTCTTTAATTGTTTTACAGAACTTTGATTTCCTTTTAAATATTAATGTGTACATGTAGTCTATAGCCGGGCAAGCCCAGCCTTTGACTTCCATACGGGTCGGTCTACATTGTATTTACCCCAAGACTAATCTTGGACAGAACTATACACATTTTTAGTCCCAGTACTACCCCAAATAACTTATATATTGTGTAAATTAAGAAAGTTTTATAACTGATTATTTACCTGTTATCTTGTTACTGTTCAATACATCAAATATTGTCAATTATGTATGGACTTTTTCATCACTAAAATATTTCAAATATATGCTCTTTATAGAAAAAAATATTGTGATTTAAATAAATTTTACTGAAACAATAAGACTATGTTAATCTAACGAAATGTGGGGCAGGTGAAATAAAAACATAATATATTATGAAACAGAATATGATCAATTTAATAATCAGGCATCAAAAATGTGTCACTCATAAAATGACATTGTCGCAGACTTAAACTTGCACTACACCAAAACCCCGCAATCTTGGAGTTATTTCATTGTTGCAAACTATTTTGCACAAAAAAGAATATATTTATAATCTTACATTAAAAAATACAGGGAAATAAATGAAGAGGGATAATTCAATGTGTACATGTGAAATCGCATAGTTACCTCACATAAACAAAGTAAAATTAAGACTGTATAAAAAAATAGATGTCAGTAAAAGTGTCTTGGGGTGGTCTTGTGGTGTCTTGGCATAGTCTTTGGATAGTCTATGGTAGACTTGGGGTAGTCTTGGGGTAAATAGACTAACCTCTTCCATACATGTATGAATGAGGCAAAGCTTCAAAACGAACTCTCTCAGAAATTACCTTATAATTTAAAGTCATTGGTGGCTACTTATTTTATATATAATTATGTTTTCAATACACTTAGGAAAACTGCACACTTTCGAGCCACACATTATATATACAGCCATTTCATGTTTAATATGATATCTAAATTGAATCCATCGTCAGAGAAATTGATGGGAACCATATTGTCACCTTAGAGCAATATGACTGGTTAATTCCTATTAAATTTAGAAGGACTAAACAGTTATTGCACTAAGGTGACAATATGATAATTGGACAGGAAACCAGATTATCATTATAGATAGGTTAATATGTAATCAGGCAAAGCCTATGAAGAGGGAAGTCGGTTGAAAAAATCATTCATTCTTATTTTACACTTTCCATGTTAAAAGTGCCATTCGGTATTTTATGCACTGCTTCCGTTTAATCTGGTTCCCTGTCCTATTATGGTTCCTTTAGAAGTGTGCTGGAGGCCAGTCTACGCATCCATTTTCAATCGGAATTCCTCGGCTTTTATCCTTATCTTGTGAGTTGAAAAGTTGCAATTGGTCTACATGTATTACCCATAATTTTGCAGTACTTCCGGCGAAAGTTCAAAACCATCACTATCTAGCAGGTACTCACGTTTCTGTATGATTAGCATTTTTACTTCCCCAAATAGCAATTCATCCTAAAATATAGCTTTTCAATTAAGTGAGAAAAACCACTGGCACCTGTTATAGTGAATATACCTGCTAAGTGACTCAGTCTCACTCTCAGTGTGTCTCTATTTTTTAGTGTAATTATCACCTCATGTTGACTTTATTGCTACTGCATAATTTCATTAAAAACTAAATGTATAAATATAAAAGTTATAAATTCATGAAGAAGCCTTGTTTTGAGTGAAGATTCTGGACTGTTAGAGGTATCTAAAATGTCAAGATTTTTCTCAGTCTGCCACAACTTTGTCATTGTTGGTGAATTTGAGCCGTGTCATGACAAAACCAACATAATGGGTTTGCGACCAGCATGGATCCTGATCAGACTGCGCGGATGCGCAGGCTGGTCTGGATCATGCTGGTCGCAAACGCACTATGTTGGTTTTGTCATGACACGGCTCAATTGGTTTATTCTCAGAGAAAATGACATCTATGCAAAAACTTTTAATCCTGTTTCTGTTAAAGAAAAATTTAAAACTGTTTTTGTCAATGAAAAAACATTTTACAGACTTGTGTGATTTTTTTTTTTTTTGATAAGTATGAAAATAATGTGGAGCAAATTATTGCACAAAAAAGTGTAACTCACACAGTACACGTATGTAAAATTACCTATGTATACATGTATACATTAATGGTAGGCCCTTAAAAGTTAAAACTTTTTTTTTTCTGCAGCTTACAAAATATAAAATTCAGCCCTTTGTTATGTTTGCATTGCATATTACATTGTATAATTATAATTAGAAAACAAGAAAAAGTAGTGCTATTGTTAAATTAATCTATTCGGCAAGCCTTAAAATCATCTTTGTTTCCCCTTCCGCAAGTAGGGTAGGTAAGGTTGTTAAAATAATATTTTTTTTATCCAAATTTTTTTTTTTTTTTTCAAAATTATATGGAATTCAAAACAAAAAGTGAATGTTTAGCATCTGTTTAAAAGATAAGTACCATATTTTCAGTTGAATTCAACATATATCCCAGTTTGTATATAAAAAAAAATTTAAATCATAAGACAGATATAAAGATGTGATTCTCATTGACACTCTCTGCTGCCATGTAAAGTAAATAAAAAATTATTTTTTTTTGGCTTGACAAAATTTTTTTTCGGGGTAGCTGTGATTTGTGTGGGTAGATACAATGTAGTGGGAGGGGAAACAAACAATATTTTATTTTCGACCTTGTTGATAGTAAAAATGAAATTAATCTTCCTTGTTTTAAAAACTTTCATTTATTAATTAATATTGACATTATCCTTCTGATTGTGAACTTACATGTATGTAATGAATGTTATGCCTGACCTTACCTAACCTTGACAGTGTTCTATCAAAGATCAAACAGCTTTGGATGTTCATAGTGTTTAAAGCATTTATTTTAAAGGCACATCCTGTCTCAGAAAGGAATAAATTTTTCATTCTTTAGAAAGGGTAAACTTAACATGAGATTTATAATGTTTAGATATCGGTTTTAGAGCATGTCAGGTGCATACAAGTACATTTGAGGAAACTATAAACATAGTAAAAATTTATATAAACATAAAAATAAAAAATTTTGGAACAGTATTAAATAAAAACATTCCTGGGGCATAATGGGCCTTTAACAGAATAAAAAAATTAGGTACTACACACTAACTATAACATCAAAAAATGTGGTTATGGTCCTTTGTTGTTTGTTTTGGGTTTTTTTTTCACACAGGTATTTTTCTGAAAGCCTGGTTTTGTGACAAAATCCTGTTGTTTGTATACATTGATTTGAGCCGCGTCACGACAAAACCAACATAGTGCGTTTGCGACCAGCATCCGCGCAGTCTGATCAGGATCCATGCTGTTCGCTATCAGTTTCTCTACTTGTAATAGGGTTTGTAAGCGAACAGCATGGATCCTGATCAGACTGCGCGGATGCACAGGCTGGTCTGGATCCATGCTGGTCGCAAACCCATTATGTTGGTTTTGTCATGGCACAGCTCATTTCATGATCGAGTAAAAATGTTTTCGTTATTTCTGTTGTAGAAAACTCATGAGATGGCAGGCAAGAACGAGCGCTCTGCAACATTGCCATCAAACTTGCGTCATAGTGTAGCGCATGCCGAAGAGAAGGAAGGGCTATTTACAAAACTTAAGAAGAAATTTAGACTTAAGAAAGGAAGATATCATGTGGACGTAAGTACTGGAGAATGCGAAAATATTTCTGCAGTGTCATTTAAAAAGAGACAGAGTCGTGAAGTTCTTGAGGATGAATCTCCATGGAAGCTGCGGGATCCGGCATCAGAGAGTCAAGACTCATTGAAATTGTCTGAACTTACGTTAGGTAAACCTGGTGATAAGCAACATTTAGCTTTAAAAGGAAAAGAACGAAAGTTATCTAATCCGGAAACATACACAAGATCTCTGACAAGTTCAGAAATAAACTCGTTTCAAAGGAGCAGCTTTGATGCTAAGGCTAAAGGTAAATCAACCAATGAATATAGTCCTCTTACATACGATACCAAAGAAAATGTGACTGATAGATCTCTAAAGATACGAGAAAGTACTCTTACTAATGACTGCGTTTTACACGATGATAGTGCCATTGATTTGGATACAGATGTCGAACACATTAGAAAATCTGTAGGGAACAATATTGGAATTGTAAACATTGATACAGGTTTTGATCCTGGTTATGAAAAACTGCCGGAAAAAAGACCCAGTAGCAGTAGGGAGGGAACTTGTGTGACACCAGGTAGTGATTTTGATCCAAATTACGAATCTGTGCAGGATGTGAAAGATAAAATTAAAGGCAAAACTGACCTCGAGTTTGATCCGAATTATGAAAGTGTTGATGAGGCAAAAGCAAAGAGCAAGTCGGAACAGTTGGAAACAGATGAATGTTGGTATATAGATAATGATCCAGGATACCAGTCTGTAAAAGATGTGAAACGTGAGACAACCGAGACTGTAAATAAAGGTATCAGACCACCAAAAACATACAGTAAAAACCAGTCCATAGAATCGTTAGACGAACCAGGGTATGAGTCATTAAATGACGTTAAAAAGAGAATAGCTGAGCAAAACTTTACCAAAAGTGGTTGTAAAACTATAACTAAAAGTGAGGAACGGACAGGGACCAGAACTGATGGTTTTTCTTTAAGCTCATCTGAAACAGATGAGTACTTCAATGACTCGGCAATAGGTTCGGTTCCCAAGTCAGAAAGTTTGCCGCAGATGGAGGTACGTGAAAGAAGATCAGTGTCGGGTGAGGCTGTTTTAACTCAACTAGAGAGTGAGCGCGGCCTGCAAGCATTTGCCGAAGCAGTTGTTAGTCTGACTGGTGTGGCTACAGCTCTGACAGCCTCAGGGACCAGTAAGGATAGTGGGTTTGAGAGTAAAGACAGAAGTTTAGATTCCGAACAAGCAGGTATGTTGACAGCTAAAATACTATTAAAGCAATACAAATAAGCCTAGACTAGAGCCAAGCTTAATAATGGTGATAGCTTAATTATTTTGTTTGCTTGTTTGTTTGTTAGGTTATTAGTCACACCAACATAGTCATTTTAAATACTTTCATATGGTGGCATTTCAGTTTCACTGGTGGAGTAAGCCCTGGCCCCCATCGGTGTATTATTTCAGGCACAAGCTGGCATCTAAGTAGAACCCTTGACATGAATATTTAGCATCACTATTCAAAGGTGTCAGCATTGATGTTACATTTTGGTCAAGTTTTTTCCTTCAACTAGGTACATGTATGTCCAATTTACTGACGGGAATGGGTTGAAACTTCATATTCTTTTTTGAGAGCATTATAAGTTGATGAAATATTGTTAACCTGATGGACTATCCTTCCTTGTTTCGAATAAAAAAAATAATGATTATAACTTTGTTATATTATAATTGATTACAATACATTACAGAAAATTTGTACAGTAGTGTGAACAAGACAAAGAGAGATGATGACGAGACACCTTATAGTTCTGTTAACAAGGAGAAAAAACTGTCGACAGTAGACCAGCCGGAAACTGGAGACAAACATGTGGCTGGTCCTGGTACGCACATTACATAGAGGATATTTGTTTAATTCAGTGTAAGAAAGGAATATATTTCACTGAGTGAGCACCAAAAGGTATATTTCACGAGTGGCGCAGTTACAAGTGAAGTATGAACTTTTGGTGTTTACGAGGTGAAATATGTTTCCATCTTACATTAAAGTAAGCAAATGTTCTTTTTATTATCTGCAAAGAAATGCTTAAAAGAAATTTTAACCAAAATTAATACTAAATGAAAAGCGCGCCAAATAATAATACAATGTGACGTCATTTACGACGTCACGTCAGTAAGTTGGTTTCCAGTACTGTGCACGCTGGTATTTCTCTGAAACAATGTAAGGGTCTTTAATTTAAAACAGTGAAATTATCAAATTGATAATTTCACTGTTTCAAACAGTGAAAATATCAGTTTTATATTCCACTGATATGTTTCTATAAACCCCCAAAAAGCATGTAATAAATGTACATGTATTTTCAGTATGGGTGATATTTATGTTCTGCTCAAATTAAGTGTGATACTGACATGGTTTCACATTACTGGAGTAATAAACATGGCCAAAGGCGTCTGGCAGCAGTTCCAAATGTCATCCCTGATTCGGAGAGACAACAGTTTTCTGTTCCACAAACACCCATGAAATTACTGTTTTATTACCTAATACTTTGCATTCAAACTAGAATATATATTTAAACAACATACAAGTATCATTTTTACAACTGCTTTAATTGTTTACAACTGAATCTTACTGACGAACCACTACTGTATGTAAAGCTTATCACGTTTGATTACCGAATAGTAGCGGGCGATGTTAACGGAAATACCCGAAAACAAAGGTGTAACAGTTAAAAATATTGAATGTTCAACAGTTCATTTCATCATAGTGCATGCACAGGAGTTCAAAGGTTCAATTAAAACAGTTGTAAATAAGTATTATAGAAGGCATTAGGTAATAATATAAATGAGCCGCGTCACAACAAAACCAACATAATGCGTTTGCGACCAGCATGGATCCAGACCAGCCTGCGCAGTCTGATCAGGATCCATGCCGTTCGCTTGCAAAACCTATAACCAGTAGAGAAACTGATAGCGAACAGCATGGATCCTGATCAGACTGCGCGGATGATGCGCAAGCTGGTCTGGATCCATGCTGGTCGCAAACCCATTATGTTGGATTTGTGTTGACGCGGCTCAAATATATTAACTGCTGTTCTCCCAATATAGTTTATGACTGGATGCTAAACACAAATGGTACATGCATAAATTAATGCTAGATAAATATCAATTTGAAATCATTTTGCAAGATGTCTTGTCACATAAACACAAATATATATTTTGCTTGTTCTTAAAAGAGATATATATACATGTATTTTGTATTTTATTTATTCTATTAATGTTTAATTGTTTTTTTTTTCTTTCTTATTTCTTAAAAATCAAAATATTTTGCTTGTTCTTTGATAATAATGAGGATAATAAAATTGAGCCGCATCATGACAAAACCAACAGAGTGCGTTTGCGACTAGCATGGATCCAGACAAGCCTCGCATCCGCGCAGTCTGATCATGATCAGGATCCATGCTGTTCGCTATCAGTTTCTTTACTTGCTATAGGGTTTGTAAGCGAACAGCATGGATCCTGATCAGTCTGCGCGGATGCTAGTCGCAAACCCATTATGTTGGTTTTGTTTTGACGCGGCTCAAATTATTATTTCTGTTCATTGAGCATCAAAATATTTTTCTTGTTCTTTGAACTTCCTTAGCTACTTTTTAGCTTGACTATTCGATAAGAATAAGTAGAGCTATTGTAGTCACCCGAGCGTCGGCGTTGGTGTCCGCGTCGGCGTAACCACTTATGTTAAAGTTTTTGTAATACCTCAAATATTTTCAAAGTCCATTGACATATGGCTTTGAAACTTGTCACACATGTTCACCATCATGACCCCAACCTGTAGACTGGAGGAGGTAACTGTATCAAGCATTTTGACAGAATTATGCCCCTTTTTCGACTTAGAATTTACGTTAAAAGTTTTTGTAATACCTCAAATATTTCAAAGTCCATTGACATATTATGGCTTTGAAACAAGCTGAAATTTTATAGTCTTATTTGAGAGCTTAATAGGACTCTCTCCAAGGCATGTATCTGTAATATGGATTTAAAGAAAATGTTTACCCTTTTCTTTACTTAGAAAATTTTACATTATCAAGGCTTTTTTACTATCAAGCACAAAGAATAGTTGAGCGTTGCTGTCCTACCGACAGCTCTTGTTCAGTTCATGATACATAAAACATATTTTGCTTGTTCTGTAAACACCAATTCTTTACTTGTTTCTTTATATGCATGCCCATCATAAACCATATCTTGTATGACACATGTTGTATTGTTCTTCAACTTCTTGTTGTCTGAATACCAAAACATTTCTTTGGTCTGTGAACACTGCATTATTTGACTTTGTTTCTTGAACGTCTTCTTTCTTTTCCTGCTTGCTGTTTGAACACCTGACTATTTTGCCTGTTATAGAAGCAGTTGTAGATGAATATGACAGCGATGCAGAGCTTATGTTAGATCCTGGTTATGCTGAATGTGCAGATGCTATCAAAGGTAAACTCCATTTCTTGATATGTTTATTTGTGTTACACGTACGCATTTTCAAACATGTTTATTAAAGACTTTGAATTTAGCATTGCTAAAGAACATTTAATCTTTGGCCAGATGTAATAGGTAATTAGAATGTTTTTTTTTATAAATCTATATTTTTGAACCACTTACAAGATGGAAAAAAAACAACTTTTCTCTTCACAACGGAAGAAAAATTGGCAGTCTTATACTAGAGGAAATACGGTAATCAGAAAATATTGAAGCGTTCTTTCCAGAGTTTAGGTCATTGCCAAAAAAACCTAAACCTCTTGTGGGGTTGTTCCATTGTATTTTAACTTAAAAATCAGTTTAAACACAACATTTCACTGTTTTTCATCTTTTAGTATCCTTTCAAATTTATATTAATAATAGCACAATGCATAATTCCATTTTATTAATTAATCCAAATTTCTTAAACAATAATTCTATGGGACTTAAGTAACTGAAGATCTTACTTAAAATTAATATGCTTTAAAATAATGAAATGATACTGGTTGGGTGTCCATGGCCGAGTGGTTAAGGCTGTTGACTTCAAACCATTTGCTCCTCACCGCTGTGGGTCTGAATTCCTGCAGGGCCTATGAATTCTTCTTTCCTTTGACAAAGCTATCCAGCTAGCTTACGGAACGTCGGTGTTTCTACTCAGGTGCCCCTTTGTACCTGAAATAATAATGCACCAGTAAAGCTGGAACGTCGCCATATGACCTATACTGTGCCGATGTGACGTAAAACCAAAAAAAAAATGATACTGTCATATATATATATGGCAACAATTCTTGCCATAACTGTACAAGAAAATGATTCATACAAAACAGGAAAGAAGCGACGGTAAAGACACTGACAGTACAACAATGTAGATGGTGTAATAATGTATCAAAATTACAAAATTAATACACTATGTACAATATAAGAAAAACATAGCATTGATTTTATAAGAAGGTGTACATGGCCTGTTATACACAATTTAAATAAGTAGTTTGCTTAAGTTTATTAAGAAAGACTAAATAACCTTGTGGTGAGGTGTGGGGGTGTCTAATAGTATAGTATAGGACGATTAGCATAAATTATGTTTTAGATGAGTTTAATTACTCAATCTAATGCATTATAAAATGGGTTCAAGTTTATAGGCATAATAGCCAGAAAATAAGTTTTTTTCTACTCCTAAAAGCTTCTGAAAGCTCTCTCTTTCTGTATAAAACCAAATTAAAAAAAATTGAAATAATACTAAATTCAGAGTTTTCTGGATTTCTGATAATTTTAACTTGCACCCATGCATTGATTTTGTGTATATATTGTTTCGCTCTTTGCAATGCTCTTGTTATATTCTATGGGTACTTGGTATATGACAAGATGGAGGTATTATAGTAAAGGTTTTGGTCAATACTCGCAATTGTGAGACTGTAAACATTAGGTCAGTTTTACAAACAATATTGAAGTCACTGTGAAGCTTGTTACTCTCTGAAACTGAAAGTCAGATCAGTCTTTGCCACAAGTATTTAGCTAGGCCAGACCGCAAAGTCTCAGTACTGTTGGTAGCGCGAAATTGGTACTTTTCTGATAAATTCACTTTAATTTGGAATGCACTGTTCTGAATTCAAAGCTTAATAAATCCATTATGCAAAGTAGGTATGATTATAAAGGGTTAATTGCAGATTTTATACTGGTGGACTGAGACTTGGTATGGTTTAAGAGTTGAATTATTCAGAAGAGTACCTCTACAGTACAAATTGATAAAAACATTAAATTTGAAAATCATGTGAAGAGTTCCGCTAACATACAAATGGATAAAATATAAAATGAAAATTTTGTTTATGTACATATTCATTCTTCACAATCTTCAAATGTTCACCCATTTCTTTTTCGGTCATTGTTGTAGATCACTTTCCAAGCATGATTGTGCTCTGTTTCCCACCTTTTTCATGTTCCTTGATTCCTTGACAATATTTTTGGAACATATACATTTAGTTTTCGCATTGCCTTGTCCTAGTTTCGTGTTCCTTTACACTTCTCTGCTGTTAAAAGTAGGATTTATTGACCAATATCCTTGTATTTGTGAGAGTGTAAGAGTATTTGTAAGGTAGGTAGAAACCTTGGATTGTGCTGTAAGATTGGTTGGAGTTTGGGTCACTGGGGTCAGGTTTTTTGGAGTTGGGGGTCACTGGGGTCAGTGTTTTATGGAGTTTGGGGTCACTGGGGTCAAGATCATTAGTTCTTACAATAGATTTTTACGTGCCAGAAGAAATGGGATGTATTATATAGCTTTGTCCGTCTGTCTATAGAAGTAAGTTTTTACAGGGTAACTTTTGAAGGACTTCAATGATTGCGTTTATATTTGGCACGTAAGTCACTGGGACCAATGTCATTAATGCTTATAATAGATTTTTACACAGCTTTCATTAATTGACCTCCATCCATTTCTATATGATATAAGTTATAAAGATTTTTGACAGAGGACCAATATTATAAATTGTAGCCAGAGCAGATAGGCAAGGGTAATATTGTAAAACAAATCTGTTCATGATTTTATTATACTGCCTTACAACCTGTCAGGAATCTTTATAACAAATTCATATTACAGCAAACTGAATCCTTCATTTGAGGAAGAAAGTTCATTCCATTATTCATAATACTAAAGAGATGTAGTGCAAGTGTACCAAACCTCATTCAGTAACAGTCTTAATTGAGCTAGAATGCTAAGTGTTGATGAAGTCATTCAATTAAACTTTCACAATAACAATGATAACTTGACATTCCTTCTCATACTAAGTGTATTCAATAATGAATCAAGCTGATAATTTTTGTTCTGAGAAACATTTAAATGTTCATTCAAGAAAGTGTTGTTTAAGTATGTTGAGGGGATGACATCCTTAAGATTGAAGTTGTGTGGTATATTTTTCTTGTATTTATGTGTAATGGTACAATCTGTGAACAGTTATCACTGAAATATTTTGAGTCTTTTTCTTTTATTAAAACATAAAAATCTGTTTTGTTCATTTTAGGTGTCATTCCTTACTCCATATATTCTGAGGGCAGTGGTTCAAAAATGTCAAGTTGTACCAGTCTAGATTTATCAGCAGAAGACTTTGCTCTAGAACCAGGCTACGCAGAATGTGCAGACGCAATTAAATCAGGTGCGATCAAGAAAATCTCTGTGTCACATGAGAGACTGGTTGAGCAAACTGTAGGTCACAAGCATGAAGATAAAGTCAAAGGTGAAATCAGCTCAGAGATATACGCAAATCCGCAGATATTGTTTAGAAAACGTTCAAAGCTTATTGAAGACAGTAATGAAGAAAATGCTGCAGCAGACAACAAAAATGTTGAAGAAAGTAAAGAAAAGACAAAACTAGTTGGAGAGGAAATTTGTCTTGCAGTGAATAAAAGTGGTAAAAAGAAGGAAAAGAAATCGAAGAAAGCGAAAGTTGTAAAGGATATACCTCCAGAAGCTCCGCCACTTCCTGCCCGGAATTATAGTCTTTATTTAGACGGTGAGGAAGCGGAACAAGTTGTACAAGAAGTGTTACAAGATTGTGAGAAAGGTATTGATATTGATGCTTCTAGTCTAGATGATGCATTTGCCACAGAAGAAACAAGTACTAACCAATCAGCAGGAGACAAATTATGCAAGGAAATAAAACAGTTAGGAACTGATAAAACAGAAAAGGTCTCTAGTGTAGAAAAGAACCTGGAAGAGAATGATAAAGAATCAGATGGAAAAGATGCAGAACCAACTGATAATGAGTCAGAAAAGGAAAAACAAGACATCTTGGATATAACTAAAGAAAATGACCAAGCTGTGAAACATGATTTAACAGTTTACTCTGTAGAATCTGAAAATGTGACTCCTAACACAGATGTACTGAATAAAAGTTGTAATAATTATATATCTTCAAATTGTTGTGATGAAACTCATGGAAATTCTTCTGTAAATGTTGAAACAGAGGGAGAAGAAAATTGCCTTCATGTTGTTGTTAAAGATGAGAGTGGTGCGGAAAGAGTGCTCAAAGTTGTGGAGAAACAAGAGTCTTTCCACCTCCAGAGGAGAAGAGAAAGTAGCCGAAAGAAAGTGAACAACTGTGCACCACCCTGTGATGAGAAGAATGGACTCGAGGATAAAAAGATCCTTATTAATAGTGATAATTCAAGTGGATATTCTTACAAAGAAGGTCTCAGTCATACCAAAGAGGGAGAAATCTTAAAGCCATTTTCTACAAATTTTACTTCGGCAAACTGTACAGACTTGCTGAATACCAAAGACAATATTGATCATGTGTGTGGAGTGGAGTGTAATAAAGATAAGAAGGATGTTAAAGAAGGTTGTGCATTTATTTCAGAAACAACTAAGTCTGATCCCTCGTTGAAGGTCAGCCAAACTGATCACACTTTTGCTAACATTGTAGATAATATAGCGAGTGAAAATGGAAATATAAATGCATATCATTCAAACTATTCTGATACTAGTAACAAACGTGATTCTTCAGAAGTGGAAAATAGTAATTTTCTTACAGTGGCAGTCAAAATGAAATGTATATCAGTTGATTCAGACAGTGATTTTATTAACACTGAGGATTTACCAAAACTAGAAATCAGTGAAAGTGATCTGGAGAGTCCATTTGACAGTAGTGATAACTCGAATCATGTAGATATTGAAACTGAAAGTGCTGGTATTGATAAGTTAACTCAAAGAATAAAAACTGAAGATGAGATTAGTCATTGTTCAGACAGTTCTAAGTTTAAGGAAGAAAGTGCTAAATTAAAGGAAGACAGTTCTAATTTAGTAGAAGACACTAGAGCTGAAATAGGCTCTGCAGAAATTCTTTGCTTAGATAGTACTGGCCAAACTTGCAAAGAAGTTGATGTAAGTGTGGAAAATGCAAATGTGGAGGACAAGTCATCTGAAAAAACTATTTGCTCATTGTTTGCCGTAGAAACAAACAAGCCACTGTGTTCAAATGGTTTAGTCAATAGAGCTGATCTTAGTGTAAGTGAAGAGAATGGAGTTATAAATACATATCAACATAAGGGTGATGATGTTGTGGATGGTATTGAAGGTCAGTCAAGTGACAGAAAAGCTACTCTTGAAAGCAGACTATGTGTGATTGAATCAGAAAAGGAGAGTGAATCTGATTTATCCAAATTAATTGATGACCTTAATGATGAGGTTGTGGTAGCGAGGGTTGATCCAGAGTTAAGTGATGATAGTGCAATAGGGAATATTGATGACTTTCAACAAGTTGAAAATCTCAACCATAACGAAGTTACTAACTCTGAATCAGACACTGATGCTAGTCAGGACAAAAACAATTCTAATGATTTTGCCAATAGTTCAACAGAGAACGTTACCTCAAAAGAGTTGCATTTGATTTATGAAAAACAACATCCTAATCTGTATGAGGATTCCGAACCAACTCACATGTCTTTAGAAGAAGCTTTGGGTTTATCACCTAGCAATCCAGTTACAAGGTCACATTCTGATAGTAGTGGTCATAGCCTTTTGTTTACAGCCAGTCCTAACGCCTTCATTCACTCAAACATTCCAAATATTCAATTTGAAAACCAATCAGAATTAACTGTAACTCCGCCTCCAAGGCCACCTCCTATAGCTAGTTCCAGCCAATTAGAAAGCAGGATTTGTGTAACTGACCAATCAGGAGAGGTTGGTAAAGCAGTCACGCCCATTGACGAAGTCCCCTCCCCTTTCAGTTTATCATACATGAGAACTGACCAATCCGAGGAAGAAGCCCCGCCTGCAATACCTCCAAGACACAGGACACCAAGAACACCAGGACGCCCAGGTAATTTTAGCACAAATATTTTCAGCTCAAAAGATTTTTGACAAACTATATAGCCCAGTATTGAGGGCTGTACATAAGCAGATTTTCCTTGGTTGGGTTTATAATTCACACCAGCATGGTAAAAAAGCTGCTGCTGTGTATATAAAAAAATTTAAAAGATGTCAAAATTGTCCAATGAAATTTAATGTTACAAACAAGGTAATATGAAATTATATCATATTATATCTAGTTATATATTTTTATAAAAGATAATGTACATTTCTTTGACAGTTAGTGTAAAAACTTGACAAACTTTTTAGCAGTGAGTTTAAATTTAAAGCATAATTAAAACCTTCATTGTTATTAGTCATTTTTTTACACTCCACAGTTACGTCCTTTATAAAGATAAATGAAGTTAAAATTGATACATACATGTATACATATCACATGACATCCATTGTTCTTAATGTAATGTAACAATTAAATATTCCTTTTATGATACACACTATTCATTATATAATATTTGTATTATGTATATAATATATATTTCAATTTCTTTCACCTAGTTTTCTTTGTGAAACAATATTGGCTCATTGCCAAAGTATTGTCATAATAGTAAAAATATGGGGCAACTGGCTTTTTATTATAAAGATTAAAGAATCAATGGTGGGAATTTTTTTTGCAGATAAATGTTTTGTTTTAATTTTTGTTGGCCATTGATATTGTACAATAATACACCGATATCAGTGTTATTGTTTCTATTAATAATTAATGTACATGTATATAAAAGAAAGGACCTTGTATAATTTATGTTGTCAATTTAATATGTATGACACTCACTCACATAATTGGTTAGTTAGTTAACAGTGAAATTAATTATGCTAATGTTTGGAAATTAAGGGAAACATTTAAATGATAGATCTAGCTGGTTCCATGTAAATTATATTTACATGTACATTGATAATCACTTCGTTTTGTAGGTTGACTTACATGTTTAATGATATTTATATTTCTGTGGTAATATTTATATTCTCTAGGTGGTTAATAATATTAATATTTCTGTGTTTATGTATATATTTCATTATGGTAATATATATGTATATTTCACTATGGTTATATTCATTTTTCACTGCAAGTTAATATGGTAATATTTATATTTCTATGGTAATAAATTTCTGTGATAATGTATATTTATGTATATTTCATCATAATGTATAATATGTATATTTTAGTGTACAAGTTTATGTATTTCAATTCATTATGTATATTTCATTATAATGTATAATATGTATATTTCAGTGTATTAGCATGTATATTTCAGTTGATTATGTATATTTCATCATAATGTATAATATATGTATATTTCATCATAATGTATAATATATGTATATTTCATCATAATGTATAATATATGTTTATTTCATCATAATGTATAATATATGTATATTTCATCATAATGTATAGTATATGTTTATTTCATCATAATGTATAATATATGTATATTTCATCATAATGTATAATATATGTTTATTTCATCATAATGTATAATATATGTTTATTTCATCATAATGTATAATATATGTATATTTCATCATAATGTATAATATATGTTTATTTCATCATAATGTATAATATATGTATATTTCATCATAATGTATAATATATGTTTATTTCATCATAATGTATAATATATGTATATTTCATCATAATGTATAATATATGTATATTTCATCATAATGTATAATATATGTATATTTCATCATAATGTATAATAAGTATATTTCAGTGTATTCAAAGTATATGTATTTAAATTCTTTATGTATATTTCATCATAATATGTAATATATGTATATTTCAGTGTCATATTCTCAGGATTTTATGGAGAGCATGAGGCAACTAAAGGATGTAAGTTCATTTCAGATTTTTCTCTTACACATCAAGATTTGAGAAGCCTTTGAGTGGTTGATATACTTCAACATGCAATGTTTATTCCAGTACTGGATAAGTGGTAGAATTTGCAACGTGGAAGTGTTCATAAAAATAACATACATATTACCCAGAGAAAGTTTCATCATTGAAGTTCTTATTTGAGTGTTTTTTACATTGTATGTAAAATGACCCCTTCGATCTAAGTCAGCTAGGCAGAAATTTGAGACATGTTGCAGTTTTCAACCTTAACTTATCAAATCATTGATATAGACATTACTGATAACCCTATATGTTGGGGTTGTTGCCAAGAAAACTTGAAAATTGCTCTAAGAACTTAGAGGATATTGAATATGTATAAGTTCAATACTGAATTTATTGCACGAATTGAATAATATCATATTTTGCAAGCCTCTGAAGAGCATAATATTATTTTATTCAATGAGTGCAATAAATTCAGTGATGAACTTACACGAATTTAATATTCTGTTTATCACATACCCAAAATAAAGACCGTTTAAAGTGAAATAAGAGTCATTTTGCATTGACACGCCTATAGCATAACGCTAACATTTTGCGCGTCTTTACGCTATGTTTGTATAACGCTAATGACGTCACGTCAAAATATATGCACAGTCGTGCAATACCATATTTACAGAGTCACAAAATCGGCACAGGTATGTGGTAATGCTTTATTTGTAACATTATTATTTAAGAGCAAACAAAAGTCTATAGAACAGGATTGCCGGTGAAGTTCACTTCATTCATGCTAAATATTTCAGTGTGGCTGGTATTGGGGACCTCTCAGCTGGGAGGAGGCTGAGCACAAGCTGGGCAAGTCACCGGAGGGCACGTTTCTTGTGAGAGACAGCTCTGATGAACACTACATACTTAGTCTGTCCTTCAAAAATCAAGGTCGAGTTCACCACACAAGAATTGAGCACCATAAAGGTAACCTTTTATTGATATAATCATTTAATATTTATTTTGTGGATTTAATATATTAAAAAACTTGATTCAACATACGTGTAATGTTTAGCTCAAATATTTGAGGAATACGAATAGAGCTTTTGTGGTAAATTGTACTAGAGCTTTTTGTACTCTTCCAAGTGTTGGCATAGCTTCCACACTTTGGTTTAGATTTCGCATGAAATTTAAGTTGATATTTCCAAAACTATTGAAGAGACTGGGTTGACATTTCACACACCTTTTTGAGAGCATAGTAGGAGATCATTATGCAAGGACTTAAACTCTAACATGGACTTTAACAACTCTATGAGCCTTTTTGAACCTATTTTTTTTTTACATTATCCAGAATCTTGTTTTACATTCAGTTAAGCACGGTGGATAATTGAGCATGCTGTCAGACTGACAGCTCTTGTTGTATTTAAGATTTTTTTTTTTCTTTTTCTCTCATTTGTTATATTTACTCATGTTTCAGGTCATTTTAGTTTCTGGTCACAGCCGGACAGTCATGGAAAGTCTACAATAAAAGAGTTTATAGAACAATGTGTAGAGAACTCGAGGAATGGACGATTCTTGTATTTTATCAGGCCAAGTGGTCCCGGGAGTCCCCCAATGCCGATACAGTTACTTAACCCAGTGTCACGGTATATCAGTGTTTATTTTATAGCTATATGTGTCCTAAAAATACTCTCATTTTACAGTTTATAATACCGCACATTTGTAAAGTCGCTTTTCATTCTATAATCATAAATGTTTATATAGTTTTATATACAAGGCTGCTGTCAATTTATGAAGAAATCTCGCTTCTTTGTCTCTCCCTAATCATGTGGGGTAAGACCGTAAGTAGTTGGTCACTTACTAAGAAGATGGTAGTTACTGGTTAGTTATCCAGGAAAACCAGTTAGATGGACTTACTACTAAGATATGACCACAAATATGTTGTAATTGGCATAAATACCAACCAAATAATGTATGAAAATTAGACTCATTCTATGCATTCTGAATACTGTCAGTGATTGCCTAAAGTTGCATTCTCATTTTGAGGCTGAAGATTACAATTTTAGGCGAACAACTTAAGAAGTACAAACTCAGAATAGAACAGTTCATTTAATAACTATTTCTGTTTTTAAATGAATAGCTAATACCACCATATGATGGTGTTGTCTAAGGATTTTTTACAGTACAGAGTAGGATAATTATAGGTCAGGGTTTAATTATTTTATTAGGCTATGAATGACAAAAGTTTTGCATGGCCTGTAGAGCAGAAGTTGACTTTGAAATATTTACTGCTCTTGTTGGAATATAAATGTAGGATAGCATCTAGAGCCTGTGGATTGGTGTATATAACATATGCAGTCTGTGCTTATTTGAATAAAGTGAAAAAGTTGCTGATGACTGTAATCCAGTTACCATAGTGAATTCTTTCATGATGTAGATTCAGAGCAAGCTTTTAAGAGTTAAATGCCCTTACCTAGATACTTACTGATAACTCAATGAATGAAAAGATAGGGTTGTTATTCTTCATAAGTTTACATGTCATCATATGACCTTAACAGTATTATGTTACTTATTGATATAACACGGTGCCATATGCCCTGAATAATCTGTATAAGCCACGGTGCAGTAGATCTACCGTAATATTTTATAGACCTATATTTTATGATATTTATAGGTTCAAACAGATGCGATCTCTACAGCATATGTGCCGGTTCCGTATTCTACAGCTTGCACGCCGGGACCACATCGATCATCTTCCCATCCCGACGAGAATAAAACAGTATTTGAAGGAGGCGCAGTATTACGTCGAAAGTCTCGACGACTGAAGAGATCTTCATGTATAATTAAATCCTTTACAATACCTTTATCTATATCTCAAAGCTAATACGTTGTCGTTGTTTGTTTTTTTGTTCAGAAAGTATCTCTTAAAAATATTTTATTTTCATCTTAAAAATAAAGTAATAATTTTTAATTTGGGATCTCTTTTAATGTTTTTTTGTATCTCAAAAATAGGGTTTTTCTTCTTTAAACATGATGTAGATAAATGGGGTTTAAATAAATAACAATTTTTTTTCCTGCATGAAGAGAATTTGGTGCCCAATTTTTTTTTTTTTTTTTTTTTTTTTTGTATCGAAGATAATAGATCTGTCATGATATATTAAGCATACCACAATTTTGCATTTTGATTTTTTTTCGTACCTCAGGAGTTATAGTAAATTTTTGTTTCAAATCATAGTTAAAATTGAATGACCAGCATGCACCGAAAAAAAGTTTTTTCATAGTATTACATTTGTTATTACATAATTTAGATGAATTATGATGTTGATGTTATATTGTTTGTTTATAGTGTGTAAAACCATATATCTGCTACCTATATTTTACAAAATTATTGCTTGAATTTTGAAAACGACTTCTTCCCAAACTTGTCAGTATGAAATATCATCCTATAGTATTTTCTTAAGAGCGATTGTGCATGTAAAAAAATCATTGATAAACAGTAAAAACCCAATCTGATTAAAATCAGCTCCTAATTAACGCTACGCATCAGGCCAAAAATAACTTCGGTAGATCTGAACTTGAGTCAGATTTAGTTAAAGCCCTACTTAAATTAGCAGCATAATATTATGTGCCTGATGTTCTATTCTGTTCTAATCTGTTAACGTACATGCATGTTAAATAACAGAGACTTTTTGTTAAAAGTCTTTTTGAGAATGGCCAAAATTCATGGGAACAACATATAATTTTGCTGGTTATACATTTTATAAAAATGTTTTGTGAGATATAGCTTTATACCCTTTAAAAAAAAGTGAATGTCAGTTTCAATTAAATAAGTAATTTTAACAAAGGACTTCAAAAAAATAATATAAGAAATTCAATCAAAATGAAAAAAAGATTTAGTTATGATATTAACTGACATCATAATCTTATTTTCAAGCAGAAATAAATCTCTTGAAAATTTCCCACTATGTTCAAGATGGTACATTAATCTGATGTCAGGGTTTACATTATTAACAGATTGGCGATCCATATCATCTGTTTTTTACAGCCTGTACGTTAAATTATCATCTGTGGGCCTTGGTCGAATCGGTTGTTTCCTTTAGGGGATCTGTTGTCACAGATAAAAATGAAAACCCAGGTTGTACAAGTCACAGACATTTAATTTTATTGTCTAGAAATTCCTGGCCGCAGACACAGTTGTCTTAGAATAGTCTTATTCTTTACTGATATCATGAATGGTGTACAAAGTCAGTAAAACAATCTACAAATATAAACTTATATGATACAAATTTGTTGCCATAATATTGTTTGGTTTAAATGTTTTGTTAACCGCATATGATTTTCTCTACAAGGTCTGTATAAACCCTTTTAGATATTAAAGGCTTGCGATGTTTTGCTTTGACATCTGAAAGTTACCAAGAGTTCAAGATTGAATTTCATTTCTGACTTTTTGGTATTGACATCTTGACTCCTTATTTCTGACTTCTTATTTTCACATCTTGAGTTCTATTTTTGCCCTTTTGACTTCTTATTTCTCTTCTCGATTCTTATTTTAGACTTCTTGACTTGTAATTTCTGACATTTTGCTTATTATTTAAACACAAATATGATAGTGCCATATTAAGTTTAAAGGTATGTTTGATAATTTATATGGTTTGTTAGAAAAATATACATCTTAACCTTGAACATGCTGAATATTTTTAATGGACTTTTCCCACTTTCATTTTTTGGGACTGTCCATTATCAATTTTAGGGATATCTATTTGAATATTTAAAGTTTGTCAGCCAACAGTATAGAGCCTCGTCAGACTACCAAGAATGTGCAGACTGGCCTGACTATACTGGTGGCAAAGGCTTAACGCTTTCAGTTCCAGCACTTAAAAAGTTAACACCTTTAACTTAAAGGTTCTATAGTAATTGTGGGTTTTTTTGGTATTTGTTTTTAAACAGTGTAGTTTGGCATTAAGACCTTTAACACTGCACAATATCCGACAAGTATTGCATTTAAATAAATAAACAAAAGGAATGAATCTGTATGAAGCATGCCATTTAACTCTTTTTACATTACATTTACGTTTTAATTAAAAGAAATTAGTAAAATTTTAACTTTCACATTGAGAGGAAGATTGTTTGTAACATATATTGTGTAATATATAATAAAATATTATTGTAAATATGAGTGTTATTATAATTTGTGCTGTAAATAATATAAAAAAGGGGCCATAACTACATATCTTTGATAAATGTTGCTGTGTTTATTCTATTTATTTGTTTATGATATTTTGGATTGTATTGTTAAATGATATATTACTAGGATGAATTGTGCTTTAAAAAGGATTTGTATTTGTAAATATATACATGTATTTATGGCAAGAAAAAGCTGTTAGAAAATGTTAAACTTTGGGGGGTTTTTTTCCAGAAAAAAAATTAGAATAGGCTAAAATACCATGTTTTTTTAGCTTGACCAATTAAAAAATAGGGTGAGCTGTTGCACTCACACCCAGGCATCAGTATTACACTTTGATTTAAATTTTTGCGTGCAAGCTAGCTTCTCGAAAACTACTACAGAAAATTGGTTGCAACTTCACACACTTATTTCAAAGCATAATAGGATGTCACTGTCCAAGGCCGATAACTATAACATGGAATTTGTAAGAATTTTGAACTTAGAAAATTCTCTATTATCCAGGTTCTTGTTTAACTATGAAGCATTGAAAATAGTTGAGCACACCATTTTATCGACAGCTCTTGTTAAGTAAAGGATGTTGCTTTTTTAGAAATAATGCAAAACCATCAAAGAAACATAATTTTGATTATTTTAACGAAAGGTTTTATTATAAATTTGTTATGTTTTGTTACTCAGCCGAGCAGAACAAGGGGCTAAAAGGCTGTTAAGATTGCCCAATGTCAATGTGCATTGTTATTTGTAACATAAGAATCAAGTTATCAATTATGAAAATAATTTCATTAATCTTGTCACAATCTACGCAATGTGTTTATTTCCTAGATAAATATATACATGTATAGATTTAAGAATTGTTGGAAATTCCTTTGATTGTGGTTTAAATAAGAACCCCTTCTATATAATAATAATGATTCAGGTCACTGACTTCAATAAACTTGCCTCTCGATGCCTTGGGTTTGATATCCCTCCCCCGCCTACCTCAAACCAGAGAGTTTGGATCCTTTCATGTGAGAAAATTTTACCAGCTTGATCAAAAAGTGTTGGTGGCTCTACATCCTGTACATGGCTTATACTTGTACTGTAATTATGCTTGGACAGGTACCTGAAAGGTATACTTACTATTTGACCTTGACTTTAGACCCCACTTAATAAAACAAATTAACAATGTTGAAAACTTTTTTTACCACTACCAAATGAAATAAAAAAATGTGGCTTTTCCTCTTTTAGTTTTGGTCTCATATTGTATGATTGTAATAATATTATTATCTTTAGGAGAAAAAATAAAGGGATTTAGTATTTAATTTGTTACTATCTCAAAATTTTAGTTTTTTCATGAATTAATATTGATTGTGTTATGTATGTTTTTGATTAATTTTGTATATAGTATATTAAGATGTTGTGCCAAAGAAATTTGTAATTTATTGTTAATTAACAAATTAAGTTTATAAGTTATTGTCTTTTTTACTGTAAAATTTGGTCAAATTTTTGTTTATTGATGTATTTGATGTTGTAAACATTGTATGATGCATCAAAGAAAGAATATAATATATTGTCACCTTAGTGCAATAACTGGTTTACTCCTATTAACTTTAGAAGGACTTAACCTGTTACTGCACTAAGGCAGTGAAATGCTATGTAGTAATATTTGTTAATGCTTTCGTGAATAAGAATAGTACAAGATTGCCCTACAGCAATGAGGCAGTTGATTTTAATCATGACTCCCCCACCCCAACTCCATCTGGTGCATTTTCCCCTTATTGATCCTCACCACCTTTTCCTCTTCTTGAAAATGTAGCAGGGATTTTGACTTATGAAGTCATAGTAAAATGGGGATGGTCAGATAGTAAAATCTATGCTAAATGTCCCCTCATAGCAAGTTGGAAATATCTCCTGTATACTATTATATTAGCAGCCAAACATAACCAAATTATTGGCACTGGCATGCAGGGACAGAAAGAAGGGAGAAAATAATCAGGTTATTTCCCCTTCACTGCCTTGGGGGCTGTGGGTGGGCTTAAAATTGACTTATACTGAAAGGCTGTTTTAATTTGTTTTAAATAGATTTACCCATAACCCTCCTGGATTTAAAAGATAAAAGCCACCAATAAAGAGCCAGACCAGCCTGTGAAGTTTTACCAGGGTAGATAATATGTTGGTAGTTCAATTTTTGTATTAATTTTAATATTCAAACATGTAAAAACTTTGAATGGACTGTTCCAAATTCAAAGCTAGGCAAATCCATTATAGAAATTCAACAGGTCAAAGGGTTAAAAGGCTTTAATGCCAACAAGATGTTTCTGCCTGTTCACTGTACATTTAGGTTCTCATTGGCCGCCGTACAGTAACCTACTTTTGGCTCAAAATTCCTTTTTTTTTGGCTAATTCTCAATGGAAATTGCATGGAGGTTTAATTTATCACCATTTTTGTGCTTAAAATTAAATCTTTTAGGGTATGACTGGGGGGCATGCCGGGTTCAAAACTGACCCAAAAAGCTGTTTTTTGGTTCTACGCGGGTAAGGGCCCCTATTTAACATTGACTCCCACAAAACACATTTGCTCCCTGTGTTTGTGACAAAAAGTTAACAGCACAAAAATTTTATTTTCCCGTTCGATATATTGATCCGATTTTTGGCAACTACTTACATTATCCCACAAATAGCCGTGCCATGAAAAAACCCAACTTAAAGGGGTTTGTGCCCAGATGGACCAGACACCCGCGAACCGCGCAGTCTGTCGGGATCCATGGGAAGCCTATTGAGTAGGGTTGGGAAAGGGAACAGCATGAAACCTGATCAGACTGCGCAGATGCGCAGGCTGGTCTGGATCCATGCTGGTCGCAAACCCGTTATGTTGGTTTTGTCGTGACGCGGCTCAAATTTATTACAAGTTTACGGATACAAATGTGAAACTTACTTGTGAAATTTGTATGTTATGTAAAAATGATGGACAAATTGTTGGTAACTAGAGAGAAAAATATTTTGATGTATGTAGATGGGTATATATTTTGAATATTCTGTATATTAAGTTAACTAGTAACTATTGATTTGTATGATGTTTTGCTTAATGGGGGGGGGGGGAAGACTTTTTTTATCGTAAAATTAAATCATTAAATCAATATTTATGAAGTTTTTACGATTTTTGATGCTTATTTTATTTATACTTATTTATATATATATATGTTTATATATGTTCTATAGTGCTTTATAGATAATATTGTTAATAAGAGTTTCACATATATGAGTGTCACATGAATATATAAATATAAATCAACTTACAGCATTTTTTTTCCTTGTTTAGTTCATGTTTGCTTAATTGTTGTCGTTTTTTTTAGGGGACTCCCATTTTAGTTTAAGGGAAAAATATTTTTTTTATTTTTTTTGGAAGGATCAGTTTGCTTTGAGACCCTTGCTATTAGTTTTGAAATCATTTTTAGAATGACTATTTAAAGTATATGGAGAGCTTTCCGTCTCATAATGGCATCCACTTTGAGATAACTGCTTGTGCTGTAAAATTTTACTATATTTTTTAAAATCTCTTTAAGCCAACTTTAAATATGTTCCTTATCATCACCCACATCCTATAGATTAAGGTTTACAACTCTAGCACCAATATTTTCAGAATTATCTTCCCCTTAACTTTATATTTTTTTAAATTTCAAGCTTTTCATGTTTTACCGGAATTTATTTATTTTGTAAAGAAAACTTCAACTATATGTTCTCTATTATCACCAGCATCAAATGTGTTAGAGTTTATAAAATGTAGCATCATTTTTATGCCACCGCAGCATCTGCGATGCGGTGGCATATAGCGATTCACCTGTGTGTGTGTGCGTGTGTGTGTGTGTTTGTTTGTTTGTTTGTGTGTGTGTGTGTTATATAGATTATATAGTGAACTTAAAAAATCTTCTTGTGAAAAACCACTTGTCCAATTTCAATCAAACTTGGCAGGATTGATCCTTGGGTGAAGGGCTTCCAAAGTTGTTGAAAGAATTTCATTCCATGCAGAAATCTGGTTGCCATGGCAACAAAAAGGAATTATAAGAATAAATTTAAAAAATCTTCTTGTAAAGACACAAAAGGCCTAGAGCTTAGATATTTTGCATAAGGCATTGTCTGGTAGACCTCTACCAATATTGTTCAAATTATAGCCCTAGGGTCAAAATCGGCCCCGCCCGGGGGGTCATTGATTTTCACTATATGTACATATAGTAAAAACTTAAAATACCTTTTTGTAAAGACCCATAGGCCTAGAGCTTAGATATTTTGCATAAGGCATTGTCTGGTAGACCCTCTACCAATATTGTTCAAATTATAGCCCTGGGTTCAAAATCAGCCCTGCCCCGGGGGTCATGGATTTTCACTATATGTACATATAGTAAAAACTTAAAATACCTTCTTGTGAAGACCAAAAGGCCTAGAGCTTAGATATTTTGCATAAGGCATTGTCTGATAGACCTCTACCCAGATTGTTCAAATTATAGCCCTGGGGTCAAAAATCGGCCCGGCCCCGGGGGTCATTGATTTTCCTCATATTTACATAGTAAAAACTTATAGTAAAAAACTTTAAAAAAATTTCTTCTAGCAATTGACAAATGCTAGAGGTTAGATACTTTGCATGAAACATTGTGAAGTGAACCTCTAGCAAGAATGTTCAAAATAATAGCCCTGGGGTCAAAATTGCCCCCGCCCCGGGGTCATTGATTTTCAATATATACATATAGTAAAAAAATCAAAAAAAATCTTATTGTCTGAAGGTACAAGGCTTAGAGCTTTAATATTTGTTAAAATGATATCATCTATAGGTACTCTACCAAAGTTGTTCAAAGTTTGCCTCTAGTGTCAAAATTAAAAGTGAACTTTGATATCAGCTGACCTAGATTTTGACAAAGTGTATTACATGTTGTCCTTTGATGCAGTCATGAAATTTTAGGCTGTGTGAAATATGACCTTCACCACCAAATTCACTAGACTCAAGTGCATTGATATATTCCTACTCTGATCTTTTATTGAGTTAACAATAGATTTAACCACTAATCTGATAATAAGACTTAGATATGCATTATGACAATCTTCAATTGTATAGAAACAAAAAAAATCTGTTCCTACACTACTATTTAGTGTTGTATAAATGCGGTGGCATAGCATTTTTCTCAAATGCAATCTTGTTTTTCGATTTATCTTTAAAGAATTTTACTTAAAAGAATTCCTATTGTTTTACTCTAATTTCTTTATTTCATTAGAGATTTACTTGTTCTTCAAAAATATTTTCCATATCATCATTCGCATCATATGCCATAAGGCTCATAACTTTTGTATCAATTTTTCTAGAATTATCCCCCCCCCCCACCTTAACCTGGTCCCCTATTTTTACTCTAAACTGTTTTATTATCCAGAGCTACATTTCACCTTCAGCTTGTATCCATAACTCTTGCACCTATATTTTTCTATATTATTACATTTTGAACATTTAATTTATTAGAAAACTATGTTTACTTTACTTTACATCTAATGTTTACTGTAGAGATAATAAATCTTTGTCATCGCTCACATCATGAATAACAAGGTTCATAACTCTAGGGGTTTCTTTTTCAATAGTTATCTCCACTTTGAACATAAAATTTTGGTTCAAAATAATACTTTTTACTTTTGAGGGGTTCTTTTAAATATATGAAGATATATTTGTAATTTAATTGATTTGTTTTCTGCACCTAGTGTTTAATTAGTCAAGCAGGCTGTCTTCTCTAACATCTCGTGTTCATTTCTTCCCTACAATGATGACTAAAAATGTGTTAAAATCATCAACAAAATATACAACAAACTAAAGTGATGACAACACAACAAAAGCTGAGGGTTCAGTTTAACTAACTTTTGAACTTGATGAAATATCTTGTGAGAGACCTGCTTATAACTAAATTGCTTTGATGTTAATGTTTATAGGGTTATGGAAGATTGTGTTTTCTGCTATACGCTTGGCTTTTAATTTAATAACCTGTCATTGGCTAATATTTTAAAAATTGTAATAATATACTTAATGTAATGGAGAATCAAACTTGCAACCCCTGAACTTATGGTTGCAAAGTGTTACCTTAGTGACTTTTCTACAAAAATATCAGACCATTGATATTATATGACTTCATGACTTTTGGTTTTTAACTTTCATCTTAGCTCGATAATGCGAATGGAAAATTCTTGCCAACTTATCTTTATCACTTTCGTGTCCACTTCCTGGAACCAACCAGTACTGGTGTCATGACATTTAGATATGATAATTGGATTAATATATTACAATATTATTAGGGTATTAGACTGAAACCAATTGGAGACTTAAGTTACGAATTATCCTTTGACAACAGTAAAGAGACCAGCCAACCTGCACATCCATGCAAAATAATATACTCCCAATGATTTATTACTTAAGTTATTGAACATATATAAAATGATCAAATGCACGCCAGAAGCTCGTAAAATACAAAATTTCAATTTGTTCATTTAATTCAGTATGCTACAGAAACTATTATTGTTTAAAATCCTCTTTATATAACTTAATATACACTTCATTATGATAATTATAATTTAGTCCGATTATTTAATTATGTTGTTACATTTTTTTTCTCTCAAATATTGTTGTTAGTGAAAAAATACCCAAAGTATTTGTACATTATTTAGTTAGTTTTGCATGTACACACGTAGCTTACACCTTTTAGGCTTGTGCCACGGTCTGATGGTCTGTGTTGTCATTAGTGTACAAATGTACAGAGCATATAACTACAATGCATATTACTTTTTTTGAAACATAGAAATTTTGATAGCACTAGCAAAGTAATTTATATATAAATAAGATACAAAGTATATTTATGTCGTATAGCACTTTAATTAAGTTTAAAATTATTGAATTCGGACAATGTGACATGAAAATTCAATGGAATTATGTTTAACTTAAGAAAAAAGAATATTTTTGCAGGGGCTTTGTTTTTTATTATCAAAGAACTAAAAATACTCAATCAGCTATACATCATACTCGCTACATATAAACATGAAATAAATGTTATCTCCAGAAATAAATGAATGCATCTGTTAAGCATACATGCAACATTTTCCCATGTGCTTTATATAATGTAAGCAAGTTCTAAAATTCTGAAAAGTTTTTATCTTTAAAACTTAGTCTCCCAAAGCCAGAACTTTTATTACAGACATATTTATATAGCTCTATGCACAAAACAAATAGTTTTTGTTAACATTGTTGTAAGAAAAGGAAAAAAAAAAATAATGGCCTTAATTAATAAGACTGATTTGGTTTTTGTAATGTTTTTGGTGTCTTTACATCTAAGACACATTGAAACTTGATCTCCTGAAAGGCAGTGTTGTTTTTTGTTGTTGTTTTTTTTTCTGAGTACTGTAAAACAAAATTACCCCTTAATATGATTTCAAAAGCAAGTTTATCTGTAATGGTTAAAATATGATGTTTTGATTTCAAGAGACCTGTTGAGTAAGTTTTCACAAATTTTCAGTGCAGTAATTAGGCAAACATGTTAATGCTGTATTGTCAACATAGTTTGACTGAACTTTCACAATTTGCACCTGTAATTTATAGAAAATGTTGTACAAAATTAATGGAAAATCTGTTTTTGGATGTATTTGTTTAATGTATATTTTATAGATATGTAAGCTGCTAAGCTTATTGAATAATAAACTAAAAGGTTAACTTGAATAGTTTTGATTCTTATTTTTTGTGTTGTCTCCCTTTTATTAAATATGAAAATACTGCAGGATTGTAACATGTTTTTTTTATCATTGGATAACTATGATGTAATCATGTTCCTAGTATATTTTTATTTATTTATTTTAGTTTAATCATATTTATTGACTTTTTATATATATTCGTACATAAAATTTCGCAAAAATACACAAATTATATATACATGCATTAATGTAAATATATACAGAAGGGTTGGGCCAAAAGTTACATATGGACATTATCGAGGGCACTCCCATAAAGACGCAATGAGTGAAATAGTATGAATCTGTACTGTATATTTGAATCAAAGAAAAGAAATTCATACTCATTTAGTCATTTGCTATAATGACATATAACAGGTTTTATGGTGCTGTATAGGAGTTGGGTCATACAACCCAAGTCTAGTTATATGGCTCATTATAAGCGGTTGAAGCGTCTCTAGCTATGGTTATATTACACACAACACAATCATATGACCTTTCACAAATCACAATACAACCATATAACATTTCACAAATCGAAACAGAACAACCATATAACCTTCACAAATCACAACATAACCAAATAATCTTTCACGAATCATAGCACAACCATATAACCTTTCACAACACCACAACCAATAACCTTTCACAAATCACAACAAAACCATATAACCTCTCACAAATCACAACACAATCATATAACCTTTCACAAATCACAACACATGCATATAACTTCATAAATCATAACACAATCACAATATAACCTTTCAAAAATCACAACACAACCATATAACCTTTCACAAATTCACAACAACCATATAACCTATCACAACCATATAACCTTTCACAAATCACAACACAGCCATATAACCTTTGGGGGGAAATTGCAACACAACAATATAGCTTTCACAAATCACAACACAAACCATATAACCTTTCATAAATCTTTGTATTATTGTTTTGAATATGCAATATAGGAAATTTCCTTTATTTGAGCAGAAAATGAAAATTATACCATGAAATTACAGCGGCCCTGTACTTTCATACGTACATTTGTATACACATCTATTTGGGGGAATAAAAACCGTCATGTTACAAAAAATTGACCTTACAAACATGCAGTTATATGATACTTCTGATTCATTATTTGTTCTAACCGAAATAATATAAGATTATTATACTTTGTTGAGTACAATACTGAATTCCATTGGAGGAGCATACAGCTGTCAAACCTATATTGGACGGACCGCTGTTTTACATATGATTTTTTTTACCCTGAAAAATAAAAATGAGGCTAGAATTTAGGTGTGCATGGTGTGCATCATGCATCTGAAACGCTGGAAATGGAAACGAGGCTTATTTGATAAGATTGGATAATGACTTCTTTTGGAACATCACGTGTTCAGAAACACGCTGAAAGTTCTATGGTTACATTATGTTTTATAAGGTGTGAAATAGTGTTATATAAAAAGAGAATACCACAAAAATGCTGACAATGATAGACTTGTTATTTCCGTTTCAAATCTCTAGGTCTTCTATAGTTTAGAATTACAGTTATATCTGTCTTTTATCAAGGGCATTGTGTACAAGTTAAGTATATTGAACGATTCAATAAAGTTCTATTAATAATAACCTATTTGCGAGATAGATAATTTTAATGGTTTCTCTTGTCAAAAAGAAAACCGTAATTCGTTCTCTCGGATATATTACCAAAACAAATAATGTACTAGATTTCAGACATTGGATTATTTACTTCTTGCAATACATTTTCTTTTCTTTATTTTTAAGGTGTTTAATACTTGTCTTAAATAAAGTATTACAGACGAACCTTCCACGTATGACCTGTATGTGAAAATATTTGATGAAGGGTGCGCCGGACTCTTTAAAAAAAGCCAAATTGCATTTTAATTAATCAGTAGGAAAATGAAAAAGATATGTTTTAAGCGACAGGTTCAATATATAAAGGTGTTTATTCAGAGAGCATCCTTGACACACAGGTTTAACTGTAAAGAAACTCATCTATATAAATACAGTTATATCCGTAAAAACAGTCCATACACTGGAAAGATTACGTCAGTTATATAACTGGCTTATCATGTAGTAATTTTTATCAGAAATAATGTTCTCTTTTACACAGGTTTGGCTGTAAAGTTACTCTTTTATATTGATACAGTTATATCCGGTTAATCAGCCATTCTTTTGCTCCATGTTCTCCTATTTCTCATCTACCAGACAGGTCTTTATGTTCCTCATAACCAGCACTACGGAATCCCTCCTCGTAACCTTTCTTGATTTTGGTATACTGGTCATAATCTAACTCTATCCCATACTCGTCTGCCATCTTCCGTACACTACGAAAACCTGAATTTATACAATGCAATAATAATACATTGCTATCAGTTATAAGAAAAAAAATCCGGGTTCGATTCCCGGACGGCGCGGTCACTATCGTTGTGATGTGGTGGCACTGGTAGGTTCCACTCCGGATCATGGCAGTAGGCCACATTGTATGATTGTGCGAATGACCGTAGAAAGGATTCCATGACCAATCGCAACGAAAGTGTCATGCGCCGTCTGGGAATCGAACTCGAGTCGCCCGATTCACAGTCCAATTCTCTACCAATTGAGCTAAACGGACAACTCTCTATCGTTCTGATTTATCATGAAATCCTTATATACACAATTACTCGCACTTCTGCAACTCTGGCTTGTACAGAAGTTACCCTGGCTTGTACAGAAGTAATCATTTCCTTGCAAAAGTGAAGGCAACTAGTACTGATAAATTGCTTGACAGCATGCCCAGGGAACAAATCAGTGAGTGAACTATGCTCTGATAATTTTAAAGTGGCGTTCTGTCGTAATCTATAGAGGGTAAACTATCAACACCACCATTGTCATAGATCTGCCAAATGGTCCGCCCGCTTAGCCAAATAGGGAGAGCATCGTATTAGGAACCCAGTTGACGCTGGATTGAACTTCGGGCGAATCGTCAATTGATTTGGACATGGAGTGTAACGGAAATTTATCTTATAATATGTTAGATGAGTAGGCCCGGCAGTTGCTGAGAAATTGGTAATTACTGGTTAGTTATCCAGGAAAGTCGTTGAGGCGGATCGGCTATCGAGATATGACAATCGGCAAATAAAAACAAAAATCAACAAAAAATATTCTACAAAAAGAAAATTGACGTCATCTAAATAATAACATTTCTTAATCCGACCACATTAAACATAAAGAAATAGCATATTATCCTGTGGATAATCATAAGTTCTCTCGGACTTTTCCGTTACACTGCGGGTATGGGCCGTGATTGTGAACAATCGGTGAGGTTTTCCGAATGTGTAACACTAAGTAATGGAAATGTTATATTGTTTACCATGGAGTCATTTAAAATGTCATGATATGAGCAGAGCCGCAACATGACAAAACAAACATAGTGCGTTTGCGACCAGTATGGATCCAGACCAGCCTCCGCATCCGCGCAGTCTGATCAGGATCCATGCTGTTCGCTTACAAACTCTATAACAAGTAGAGAAACCGATAGCGAACAGCATGGATCCTGATCAGACTGCGCGGATGCGCAGGCTGGTCTGAATCCATGCTGGTCGCAAACCCATTTTGTTTGTTTTGTCGTGACGCGGCTCATAAAAATATAGATTTTAAAGATATTGACTTACGTGGATCTCTGTTTAAACATATATCACGATAGTCCCTAAGGTGCCAGCATACCGTCTCGCATACTTTATCGCAAAATTTCTTGCATATTGCCAAACAACAACACAACAACATGCAGACGAAAGAAAACAGGAATATCACTTTGATGGCATGCTTTTGCCAGCTTTTTGCAAACTTTTCGAACTTCGTCTCCTTTTTCTCTTCACCCTAAAAGTAAAATTATTCAAGTTTCTAAAACACTGGAATGTGCAATAATTTAACATTTTATTTTGTCTGCTATACGATTACATTTATTGCATTTATGGCATCATTAGCAGCATAACAAATATCACGTGATCACGATCTCTTACAATGATCTATCGCTGGCGGCATGGCCGAATGGTAAATGAGTCGGGTTATATAGTTTAAGGATTTGCTGGCGGCGTGGGTTCAAACCCCATCCTTTAGGCTAGACACTTTAAATACACTCATTGCATAGTAGAACCTATACTGGATGGTTCCAAGAACGAATTCTGGGTTTTTTCTGGTGTATATGACCTTATATAGCTTCTAACGCAATCGAAACTAAAATAAATTCTAAATATTGAATATGTGACCTTTAAGTATAGGCATAGATCTAACTTATTGAAACCCAGACCTGTTACAGTATTTTCTACCCTCATCAAAGTACAAGAATAATCAAAGTACCGGAATAACGTAATCTTTCCCTCCGTTTTCCCAATCGTAGTTCTCTTCATAATCCCATCGTTTATGGCGCCTAAGACTTGATTCTTGCTCAGCATTTTGTATCAATAAGCTCTTATTTGTACTGCCGATGTCATGAAATTGTTGAGTAGAATTTTTATTCATGTGACTTGAAAGATTTGTTGCTTTTGACCGACCTTGTGCAGCTGCGTATAATTTACGTTTCAGTAAAAGCTGTTTCCAAAGAATTTTAGACTGTGCCTTTTGATAAAGTTGTGAAAAGGTATCACCGCGTCTGCGAGAATTGGGAATCAGACCTCGTCGACGAGAGAGAAGTTTCTGGTGTAAAGTCTGGTCGGCACTGGGAGAGGTTGCTGAGGAAGACTTGGACGTTGATAGGTTGTTACTCGTCGTTTGATCTAGATAAATACAGTATTTAGAACTGAGTAACCTCACACGGATCAATACATATGAGCCGTGCCATGACAAAACCAACATAGTGGGTTTGCGACCAGCATGGATCCAGCTTACAAACCCTAATATGGATGCGGATGCGCAGGCTGATCTGGATCCATGCTGGTCGCAAACACATTATGTTGGTTTTGTCATGGCGCGGCTCAATAATATCCAATACTGCAGAAGAGTAATTATTGTATATATAATATTAGAGCTTCAATTTAGCTTTGAAAATAACAGAATATTCTTCTGAATAAAGAATAATATTGCTCAATAAGAAAGTAATTTTGTTCAAATGTTTAATAAAGTGAGATCTAATTACAGCTATAGATATATATAGTTCTGAGGGGATAAGGCGCCTGTAGCCAAATGGTTAAGGTAGTTGGCATCAAATCACTTGCCTCTCGCCACTATGGGTTTGACGAAGTTCAGCAAGAGGACAGACAATGTAGAAATGAAAAATAAATATCAGAAAAGTAATTGAAGTATACTATAAACAGTAAATATTCAAATAATTATTTTAAACGCTTTATAACAAGGGCCTCAACGCTGTTTAAAGGAAGGGTTCATTTTAAGAACTGCCGGTCACATGGTGGAGCGACGAGATGCCATGAATCGGTCCAAACACTCTCCAAACACTTCAAACAAGACATAATATCAGCGGCTAATGAGCAGAAAATTTACTGCCCGTTGTTGTTTGATAGTTTGTTCGCTGTATCAGTGTCTACGGCATGAAGGTCAACGTCATACTTCACAATAAGGACAATCAGCCTATCCCCCCCCCCCCCTTCTTAGGCTACGCCACTTCATGTGATTTTACATCGGAATTATGAACACTTCCATAATATAGAGATTAGCCGAGTATGTCAAGTGTGTTTTAAAAAATATCTACGTGACGTCTATGGAAGCCATCGTAACTTACCGCACAAATATAGAATCAGCATTAGTAGTTTCATTGTTTCTGGTATGTCACTTGACGCCATTTTGTTTGTATGACGTCATACAAATTAATTTGACGTCATTTACATGACGTCATTAAATCATGAAGTTTTGATCCACGTTATTACCACGTTTCCTTGCAACTCAACTTACCTAGACCTGTGTCTTCAAGAACCTTGCCAGTTCACTTTAAACTTGCAACGATTGTTTGTTAGATTCTATATATACATGTATAATGATGATACTTATGGTGAGATCTAAATCAAAAAAGATGTAAATCTAAATCTATGTCTAAGAAGGTAAATCAATATTTATAGAGTCTACTGTAAGTACTAAGGCTTCAGTTTTTCAAGACAAGTGTTTCATTCTAGGTGAATATTGTCTTTGAAATTAACAGACTTTCCGATCGTTCATAAATGAAAAGATGGGACAATCAAGACATTCATGAATTCATAATATGATCATGTAGAATATCTATATCTAGATAATTAAACAATGTATTTAATATCTAATTTAATAGATCTCGTTTTAATTCATTCGTAACGAAGGGAGATAAATCAAGGTATAACTGTAAAGACGCATATCTGAAGGTTAATTCCCTTCGCATAGTTGTTGCAAAAATACATAGGTCTATATATAAATTTAATAAATATTATGATTATAAGAATGGATACTGCCAAAATTTCCATATATTTGTGTCATTTTTTTTCATCTTCGCCTAATATTTTTAGAAAATGTTTTAAACGTCACGCCCATTATTTGAATATTGATTTATGACGCCCCTATTATTGATTCATGTGGCCTTTTTATCTAAAACCAAAATATAAGTTCTAGTTAGGCTGTAGTGAATGTATATTCTAATAATTACAACGTAACATTTTGAAAATAAAATCAACCGTTAGTTACATAATTTAATAAAATAAAAAGCATACGATAAACTACATGTACTATAATTGGCCTTACAAAAATAACCGCGAAACCGATACAAAGTACATGTACAGTAGACTAGATATGCAAAAAAGGAATGTAGTTCATTTTGACCTGTACAAGTCGGCCTACATTTTACGCTGAAATTAAAGCGTTAGCGTTATTTAAATTAACGTGCCCATTTTCAGTATGAAAGCTAAAAAATCTCGTAAAATCAATTCATTTACGTGCAGAAAAGTTTCTGGCTGACATCTGAATATTTGTCCTTGGTACATTATTATTCATTGTATTATATGTTTAAATAGAAAAACAGATTATATGATAGACACATGTTACACTCAATATATTCTCGATTCGATTGTTTATCAATGTTGATGTACTCTTTTCAGTACACGCACGTTGTGCTTATATTCTATTTATAGAATTATTAGCATGTCATTTCTTACAAGGTTTTTAAAGAGTCGAAGAGTCGTGGTAGGTCTTTAATAATGAACGTCAGTGTTAGTGTTTTTTTTTTTTTTTGTTTTTTTTGTTGCTCTATCTGAGCTTTTTAAGCCCCTTTTTAATCTGTATCTCTGTATTTCTGCTTTTTTATGTGTTCTGACAAATTTAAACAAGCGCGGCTGTATTTCTGCTTTTTTATGTGTTCTGACAAATTTCAACAAGCGGCGGTAATTATATATTATTATATGTAATATGTGGCATGACACGAGTTCTATATTCAGGACACGCTGATTTCTCTATTTCTCTTTTTAAAAAAAATACCAGGTGATAATGTAAGCACAGAACAGTGGCATCCTTGACATTTCATGAAACCTAACGAAGCGTAACTTTCCCTTTTCCTGACATTGGTTTCATTTTTTTAAGCACAAAGATTAATAGACATAATTGAAGATGGTTTCTACATACGATAGATTAATAACGATTAGAAAAAACATGTAGACCTACTTATTATACCTGCCACCCTCCCAGTTCCATCAGTTCCATTCGCTGCTTTACCCGCTAAAATAATCGTCTGCAACGCAGGTTACCTTCTTTTATTTTTCGCTTAAAAATGGCCCAATAGATTAACATTGTCAAAGAAAAAAGATCTCTTTGTTTCTGTAAACAACAGACCTACGTTGTTTTTGAAAAATACAAAAATTAATGAACAATATTTTATAGTGCGAGATGAAAAAAAAAAAAATATAAAAAAAATGTTCGAGCGTACGTAGTTACTTCCCTTGGACTGTTAATGACTTCATCATATCATCATTTATGATTTAAATATATTTAGTTTTAGATCTACATATGAAAAGTAAACATGAAAGATTCATGCTATTCATTTGCAACAGCGTTCCGTTGATCATAGCCCTGATAAGGATATTTCAAACGGTATTGTTTCTGCAACTGCAACTTACATATTCACAAATCAGGCACGCTCTCACATCAAACGGAAACAAAACAAAAACGCATTTAACTCTTTGCATCTTTGTTCGGTTCGTAATTCTTTCATGTTATTTTCATTATTATAAACAAAAACGTGACAATCAATCAAAATGTATACCTTCCGGTAACGCACTTAAGTAAATATCAAAGTGTTGGTTTAATACTATATATAATCAAAAAGAAGTATATCTATTGTACTTATCGTCTTGCAAAAATCAAAGAAAGTTTAAAAATAAACCTAGACACGCTTGATTGATTATCATAGGCAGCTTTCATGCTAACTTTGTACTTTCTCAGCATCAGTCGCATGCATATTTTCTTATCAACTTTTTCTCCTTGAATCAATATACTTGTTTATTTTATCTTTCGTATTGTTTTTTGTTGACTTATCATAAATATATGTATATATCTATATAGATATATCTACGTTCCACTCGTCGGTGAATTACAAGAATCAGAGAGTCAGTAACCTTGTCAGCAGTTGAACTGTATGTCGGCCGTGCGTTATTCAGCAGACGATTATTGTTAGATCTATTTTAGTGCGCATGCGCCATTGCCTCGCCGCAGAAAGGCGGTGAATGACCGTGATTAAGGTCGCATTGACACAAACGACCCAGTTCAAATCGACCTAGCGTTTTTCTCTGCGCCTAGTATGTATGTATTCGCTGTGATACGGGAACCAAACTATTCGAATCGTCTGTATGGTTGCTTTGCGTACATTTTGATTTACTAATTTTGTTTTAAGAGTACATTGTGTTCGAACTATTGATGTTAAACGCTTGGTATAGGTAAAAGTGATACAGATTTAAATGTGGTAGGATACTTTTAACGCACGTAACTATGTAGGGTAAGTATTTAGAATTTCTTTCTTTATTGTTTTATTTTTATTATAATTTAAACTAATACTGCAATTTTCCTATCGATAATTTTGCTCTTATATGATTATTGTTTGGAATTGAATGATTATTATTCCACATGACGTTATAATAATAGAGCAATAAGTTGGTTATGTGCGTTTGTTTGTTTATAATATGAGTTCTTTTGATATAAATAAACCAATAGATAATTAATTGATTTACAGGAAGCATAATATATTTTAGTTTTTACCGAATTTGAATTTTTGTACTTTTATTACCGCCAGTATGTTTGTTTCCAAAATTTACACATCTGTAGATATATTATTAACGGATAGACAATTAAATGTAAATTAGGTGTAAGAAATAAATGAATCAAGTGTATACTAGCAATAAATAAATAAATAAATAAATAAAATAGAAGAGAATAAAATAAACGAATAATTAAATTAACAAACAAGCAGAATGAATGAATGAATGAATGAATGAATGAATGAATGAATGAATGAATGAACGAACGAACGAATGAATGGTGTGCGTGAAAATCATATTAACTGCTTCCAAAAAGTTATACATGTTAGATAAGAACAAATCACATTAAAATGGTAACGTATTTTATTATATTTTTTTACATTTCAATGAAATAAATCAAAATAACTGAATTTGTAATTGAAACTATCCTATTTCATTTATTTTTACAATGATATTTTTACTGGAATGTTCTGAAATGCGACTCAGAATTGATGCTTATCATTGTACTTTCAAAATTTATTTTATAAACTACTGTTTTAACGAATACATGCAAATCATCCAATCAGTCAATCAATCAATCATTCTGTCAAACAATCAATCAATCAATCAATCGATCATTCTTTGAAACAATAAATAAAGAAAGAAAGAAAGAAAGAAAGAAAGAAAGAAAGAAAGAAAGAAAGAAAGAAAAAGAAAGAAAAAAATAAGTAAATGAAATAATAAATAAATTAAAGAAAATAAATGATATAAATAAATAAATAATTAAACGAATAAACAAATGAATAAATGAATAAAATAAATAAGTAAGTAAATAAATAGATAAAAATGAATGAATAAATAAAAAAGCAAAAAATAAGTAAATAAATAAAAAAGAAAGAATAAATACGTACATAAATAATTAAATACGTATATAAATAAAATGTAAATGACTAAATGAATGAATGAATGAATAAATGAATGAATAACGATTAAATAAATAAATAAAGAGAAGGAATCTTACACAGGGAAAAAGTTAATTTTTTAAATAAAATTTTACATATAATAAAGAAGAAATTTACAGACAAAAAAATTTCTTAGATATATGGAGATATAAAAATCAATCAATCAAACAGTAAATGAATGTATGTCATGTAAAAGAAATGAATAGGATACCAAAATGATAATGATTTTTTTTATTTAAATAGAATCTCCGACACATGTTATTTCTATCATTTGCAAAATCATTATTATTATCTTAATTTTAATTATTAAAATTTAATGAAATAATAATTATTATCATAATTATTATTCTTTATTATTGTTATTATCATCATCTATATTTATTATTATTATTATTATTAATAATAATAATGATAATAATAAGTAATAATAATTTATAATAATAATAATAATTATTATTATTATTATTATTATTATTATCATCCACTTACATTTGTTAAAAAAAAGCAATATATAAAATGATAAATTGAAAAATATATGTTTATTTTAAACATATGAACACATAAAATTATCCTTTTGTTGTAACTCTGTCGAACCGTGTCTTCAATTTTCATTTTATTTTGTTGTTATCAATGTTTTCGAGGGGTCACCCTTTTTCCAGAATTTTGTTGATAATTTTATTTTAAGGATTCGAGGGATCACACTTTTTCCAGATTTTTATTGGTAATTTTATTGTTAGGATCCGGGGATCACAGTTTTTCCAGATTTGTACTGATAATTTTATTTTAAAGATTCAGGGATCACACTTCTTCCAGATTTTTATTGATATAGATCCATTGTAAGGAAAACGTGCACTGGTTAACAATGGGTTCTTTTTCCATAAGTAGTTCAGATATTGTTTAGAACAATAGAAATTAATTTGTTCATTATTTCCTTTGACATATTTCTTGAGAAAGAAAAAAAGATATTGATAGAGTTCTTTGTGGTTTGCCAATTTTGATATGAACATTTATATGAATGATAATAATATTTTGTTCTTAGAACATTTTATTATTTGTGTAGAACATTTTATTATTTGTGATGCGTAAATATGGTAATATCGGATCATATATCTATCACACACAACATCCATATAAAATTATCTTCTTGGTTTGTTGTCATGTATAAAACTAAATACTATCAACATAATTATATATAGTTGAACAGGCTTTCCATTCTTGACCAATACCCTTTAAAGGTATCGTATCCATCATGTAAGGCAGCAAAAAGATAGTGTACATGTACTGCGATGCATTTTCTTGAGTCAGTAGCGGTGACACGTTAGGTTTGGTTGATATTTGATTTATTTGAACATGTCTTCTTACCAGATCACAGTACAGATGACTATCGCAGCGTTTGTATAGCTTTGGTGTAATCTTAGTAAACCTAAACCCCCCCCCCCCCCCCAAAGAAAAATAAAAATAAAAAAAAATATTTGAGCGTGTCTAAATGTGTAAACACACGTAGATTGCTCGAAATATACCCATTGTGTCAATACCTTAGTATTTTTCACTAAAAAAAGTGTGCGTGTCTCACAAAAACACGAATTTTGCCCGAAATATTTCCATTGTATCAATGTAAAGAGGGTTTTAAACTATTGGAAGCGCGTAATGTTGAGAAAGAAAGTTTTCACTTATAAGCACAATATTGTTACTTCCTAATTAAAACGAGTTTCTTTTCATTAACGACTGACACAAAAAATAATGGTTTCTCAACCTTATTCAATTCAATTCAATGTTCATTTTAGCATTAAACTACATATAGCATAAAGTCATGATAAAGATTAAGAAGATATTATTTTTCAATCAATTGTTTATAATACGGTAAAAACAAACTGTTTTCAGAGACCTTATTAACAATATATCTTCGTGTAAGATCTTACAATAAACAATAAGACGTGTTTACAGTGAATTGTTCATTATGCAGTACAAAACATTTTCAGAGAAGTTATTTATGATATGTTTCAATCTAGATCTAACAATAAACGAGTTAGTCAGCGTTTGTTTTCTATCGTGCTAGGTAAATGTTTCGAATTGTTTCAAATTTCTAAACGTATATGGTCTCATATAATAGTATAGACTAATATAATTATAATTACAACTGTTAAGATTCAAGATTCGTGTACTTTTTATATTGAATAAAATAAAATTATGATTTTTTTCTTATATATTATGAGATGATTGGGTTCTCAAATTCGTACAAATAATTTATGAATATTTTATTTATATACATATATGTTTTTTTTTGTTTTGTTTTGTTTTAGTTGTTGTTGCTTTTTTCCTTTTGATGTAGAACTTTTGACAATCTGAAAATTTTAGACGGTTCACAACTTTAGGCAGTTCTAAACTTTAGACAGTTCACAACTTTAGGCAGTTCAAAACTTTAGACGGTTCACAACTTTAGGCAGTTCTAAACTTTAGACAGTTCACAACTTTAGGCAGTTCAAAACTTTAGACGGTTCACAACTTTAGGCAGTTCAAATATTTAGACAGTTCACAACTTTAGGCAGCAGTCTAGGCAGTTCATAGCTTTATGCAGTTCACAATTTTATGCAGCTTTCTATGTATAGTTCACAACTTTAGACGGTTCACAACTTTAGACAGCCTCGAAACATCAACATAAAATACTACCGTTTCATAAGTCAAAGCTCTTAAGACTTACTTTTTTTTGGGGTTATTAAAAAACTTTGGACAGATTACAAAACAAACTTGTGCCTAATTAAAAGTTTCAGATAAGTCTCGAAACATGATACTGTCTCGAAACTACAGCATTCAGCAAAATAATACGTGTCTAAGCAGTATTTGAATGAAACTGCAATTTACAATTGAGCTGGTTTATTTTCTCCTGATAAATACTGTACACAAATAAAGTCCCATTTGTACAATTTATGAATTTGCACGTCATTTTTTCTTGATACGGCAAAAGGCCAATGATATTTTTTTGAGTTAAATAGCTATAAATGTACACATAGTTGTTTAATGAATTATATCTATCAATTTTTGGACATTTCCTTCTGAAAAAGCAAATATGTGTTACAAGTGCATGACAACTGTTACTGTTAATTGCCTTAAACCTTATCTGTGGTTTTTATCGAAAATGAAATTTTAACCCAGTTACAAGCGTCTGGAACAAAAATTATGTCAATTTCTATCTCTAGGAATCAAAATAAAATGCCAATATATATCTCTGAAATTATTATAAAGAGTAACAATATGATTTTGTGAAAGTATGTCCAATAGAAAAAAAAATAAAATGCCCTACATTTGAAATAGAAGATGTAATGTCAAGATACCTATCTCCTAAAATAGATATATAAAAACACATGAATATTTATCTCTAATAAGTAGAACGAAACGTCAACACCTTTCTCTGGAATACAAAACTTTCGATTCCTATCTCTGGAATAAAATAAAATGTCAATATCTTTTATTTGTTGTTGCGCGCAAAATAGCTTGGATTATCCGCAACAAACTGCAAGGACTTAAAGTGGGGATACACCTCTCACAGGGTTTTTCCACGAGATTGAATGGTTGAGGGCGTGTTTCCAAATGACTGGTCCATTAAAAAAAACCAACTAAACATACATGTATTTATAATATCAGTTTACGTACAAACGGATTGTTATGGAGTAAATTGTATTGAACAGCAATGAAAATAGGGATATCATTATATCAATATATTAACTGTTGTTGTGAAAATAAATAAAACACGTTTGCTGAAAGTCAATTTAGATTTCACATCATTGATATCATTCATATTATTA